TACCTACCCCAGACGTATCACAGGCCTACAACGACCATCCTTCTCACCATTGACTTGGCTGCTCCCTGCCCTTCAAAGACCTTCAACAGCCGATCGATCAGAGCTCCCACATCGAGGTTGTCCCTGGCCAAAGACAGTGAGCAAAGATACGCCATCAGCTTGCCCTACAGCTCAGATAAGTCATCCTCCTGCCTGGCGATCTCCATAGGGGTTGGTTGAGGCTGTGCAGGGGTCTGCGCTGGTGGCGGGTGTTGCATAAGGCCTTGCAGTGCTTGTAGCATCTGTACGCTGGCACCCCCTCCTGACGTCGCCTGCCCCCCCGTGGTGTTATTCAGTTGCTGTAACTGCCCGACCAAGGCCCCTAGGCCACTACCACCAGCTATAGTAGTAGTAGCAGGGAGGGAGGAGGCGGCCGCAGCAGCAGCAGCGGCGGCGACGTTGGTCGTAGCAGCAGCTGTGGGCTGGGGTGGTGATGGTGATGATGACGGCGACCGAGGCCGTGTCCGCTTAGACATGCCTGAGGGAGCATGCCTTATAAAGCTACGTACGGTGGCCCTCCTACTGGCAATGACTTCCAGCAGCTCATCGTATTTCTCTGGGCTATCGGCAAATCTGAATGAGACACATTGAGAGGAAGCAGACGCGCACAGGTTCGATCCCTGCACGGGTCAATTTCTTACAGGCATTTGGCTTGATCGAGATATTGCTTCATTTCTTCCACCTTGAGCCTAACCTTAGCCCCCGATGTACTGATAGTAGCCGTACTGGCAGCAGCGCTAGCAGGCCGACTCTGTGGTATAGGAGACGACACCGATGTAGGGGAGGCGACGGCGGCCTCTATCACTGCCGAGGGGACGGCAGCCTGACTTGCCTCAGGGGCTGCTGGCAAAGGGGTAGGAGTAGGGGGACTACCCTCGTGGAAAGACATAAACGGCTGAGAGGATGGACAAGTGGTCACCTCTCGGCCAACGCAATAACAACAGCGGCAGTAACAACAACTATGAACATGGTACGAGAGTAGCGATAACTATAATAACGAAAATGGCAAGTCTGCTGCTTCGCTCCGCCCCATTTTCCTCCTCATTTCCTATGGGCTCTTGCCGAACGCCAGCAAGGAATTCCGAGGAGTCAAAATCTGTGTGTAGATGGGCATCATTCAACCCAAGAGAGGATGCTTACCCCGACACGAGGCTGCGACGTTGTCAGCCGTACCATCTGGGAGGCTACTCTCACAAGGCGGAGGGTCGGCCGACCATCGGGGGTCGATCATCTCGCTGAGGAAGCCGATGTCATATCCTGAGCGGAGCGATGCTGGGATATAGTTGGGTTCAGGGGCCTCACCGATGGAGCAGTAGCAAATCTTCACCAACTCTGAAGTGAAGTCAGTCAATCGACGACACTCTACATGATCGTTGATACATCGGCCGAGGTTACATGTGGATATCTGGACAAATGGGAAGGCTCCCAACCGCAGACTTCCCCATCCCGAAGGTCTCGCGATCAATTCGCGCACGCTACCTCTCTGCATGTACCACACAGCTTCTCCGCTACACAGGAGTACTGCTGATCGTCCCGAAGAGCCTCATACCTGTCGGCACCCACCATCGACAGCGGCAGCCGGGGGAACTCCTTCCTCACCCTGCCTTAGAGCCTCCCGAGAGGGCTGCTTCGGTCAATGGTGGAGAGAACACCAACGCCTCCAATAGAGCCACTGGCTCGGAGAGCTCCGGACACTTATCAAGACAGGGAGCCGGGTCCCATACCGAAGATGCCTCTATGATGGGAAGAAGGAGGAGGAGGGAAAGATGAAGCATGGCTAACAGATGAGGCCGGGCCCATTCGGTAACTCGAGATGATAGGTGATGAGGAAAGGATGGTAGTAATAATGGTATACAATGGGATACAGCAATTACTAGGATGATACACGACAAGACGATCAACGCTTTCCAGCGGAATGACGACTGTGACAATCAGTTGGTAGGAGACGTTTGCTCGATTCCACCTGAAAGTGGGTAATCGAAAGATCCCTGGTTCGACCCCCGCAGCAGCTCACTTTAATGTCCATCAGCGGTGATCCCTTAGGAGGGAAGGTCCCTATTGATTCTTCAGGAGGCTGCATCAAGTCATCCGGTAACTGCCCGCTCACCCACAATGGCTCTCCATCAAAACACAGACGATCGAAGATGTTCCCCTCAGCATAGCTGTGTAGTACCCCTCGAGCGTTCCGGACGCTCCCTGTCACTAACCCTGAAGAGAGATGAGGGTGGACGGGAGAGGCGGATGACTACCAGTAGATGGGTCGGCTATGGACAGCTCGCAGCTGCCTCCTGTATCACCAGCGATGCTGATAGAGATCCCTCCTTCCCATCGCAGCAAACAGTGCTTAGACGAGCCACTCATAGGCCGACACACCTGATGAGATCCCAGGTTCGATCCCAGCACCTGGCATTTTCTTACAAGTTTCGGCAACTGCGTAATCCTAGCTGTGACAGCCTTGCTGGACGGTCGTTTACTGCTTCGCTCCGCTATAATATTATCATTGGCACTACTAAGGAAATCGATGCAGTGATGGCCTGTCAAGTTGAGAGCTATCCCAGCAGTCCTATGGCGCAGTGAGGGGGGCAAGAGGGACACACCATATCTGAGGCAGAAAAGGTCCCTGGTTCGAACCCCACGCCCGACACTCACTGCATGGTCCCTCTCTGAGTCCACTGTCCACCACCCTTTTCCTCGGTGACCAAGTAATGTGCATGGTTAGAGCTGACAGCTTCCCAGCATATCTCAGCAGCCTGACCTCCCCTCCCTCCCCGCCTCGGGATCACCGCCTTGCATTGACACGTGTCCCCGGCTATTATCACAGCTTTAGAGGACGCAGTGGCCGTCGCCAGGAAGGCATCGCTACTTTGAAGGGCACATAGGAGACGTTGGAGACTACCCACGATAGAAGCAGCGACCAGTTGTAACTGAAAATCAGAATCACCTACTCCAACAGTTGAGCAGCGGGCGAGATTAAACACCCTGGTTCAACCCGAGCAGGCCACATTTCTCCTACCGCTCGCGTCGAATCATGATTCACAATAGCAGTGCTCGCCCTCGGCATGTAGACACTCGATTGAACGAACATATACGACAACGCTGAGACATATAAGACAACATGAGCGACAGGTTAGACCAGTGCTCTCACCCAAGAGGGTCGGCATTGCTTTATCCTCTCCCTCCGATGGCCCTCCTGCCCTTCCCACCACTGCCTCCTCAGAGTTGTGTAGCAGCGCCGTCTTCAATGCCGAATCGATACCAGCTACCCCGTAGGGCAAGGGCAGCTCTACCCAGCCTCCAGGAGAGCGTCTAATAGCGTGGACGCTGCCTCCACGAGGCATACCCAGATCCGGTATAGAGGGACAAGGGCGAGGACATACCACTGTGATGAGCTGTAGGGCACTGAGGAAGTCCCTCACAAAGGTTAGACTCCCTCTAGCCTTGCCGGGGCCACCACGTGTGTGCATTATAACCGACAGAGAGGAGGATGAGGCCTGGGGGTAGACAGCCCAACAGGTATACCTCTCACAGTGCTCTTGTTCGTGATGCATAATCATCAACGACGGCAGGACCCCCTCGGACCTCGGTCGGATGATATGCTCTACCCTATCCTTCCCTCGATACTGCACTAGCCCTGTACTGGACAGTCTCGAGGCCGCTCCCCCGTTGAGTGCAGGAGTCCACTTGTGCCACTCAGAGATGTCCAATAAGGCAGCCTCAATAAGGCCACTACTGGCAGTAGGGAGGGTAACCTCTCCCACTACTACACCGCTACAGGTGCCTTGTTGCACTGCAATCACTATAGGTAGGAGCTCCATCACAGCCATGACCCACATGGCAAGGGTGAGGACGGCTAGGGGCGTCATGAAGGCTCCTGTGATCGATAGGACAAAGAGAAGGCTCGTAAGGATAGCTAGAGCAATGGATAAAGGGATGGAGTAGAAGTCCACAAGGATAGCTTCCGACCAAACTTTTGATAGAAAAACTGTTAAATTGGCATCCTCTGCGCCCCTCTTAACTTCTCTCCACAGTCTCAGGCCTTTATCTGTCGACCTGAAATGATGAACTATAGGACCCAGGTTCGATCCCCACACCCGACAACTTACACCACACACATGTCGTTGCCCTGATATCCACACCGAACGAACCTCAGAAGCCCCTCTATCCCCTTAGCAGGCTCCTTAGGCAAGTACCGCGTATAATCTTCAGACAGTAGACCCCCACCCGTGTGCTCAGCCGCCTTTTTATCCACCGGCTCTACCCCACTGGGCTCAACCTCACGTCGTGCCTCCTCGACCTTACTAGGAGTGGGTTCAACACTAGAATGCTTAGGGGAAGTTTCCAAAGGAGTGGTAGGGACAGTAGCCCTATCTGCCGCCTCCTGACACCACGACATCCATTGTCTGGTCTCACCTTCGCTACCACCAGATACAATGATCTGCCGACGGGTCTCTCGGGGCATCTGAGCAAAGCCTATAATTTCGTGGCGCGTGACGGAACTATATGCTACCACTATAAAGGCATGTTCCCGTCCCTTATGGGCTCCACACCACTGCACTACAGCACCTCTCATTGATATGCTATCCTTCGGCCTCAGTTCCCTCGAGTCACGATAATAGCTCAACACTGACCCCGACAGGAGGAAGTACCTACACAGTGGGGGGACACTCCAGCGCTGCCTCGATAACCGTGTCACCACGATCCGTTAATCTAAGTTCTGTCACTGAGGATCGAGTTTGAATTTTTTATCCGCAGTGAAATGATAGTACGAATCTCTTTTTCCGTTCGTAGACCATCAAATTTGTATTCTTTCGGATGATACCAAGACGGTCAGCGGCTGAGCTCAATCCTCCCCTACTAAGCCGAGAATACAAATATCTATGCGACTATGTACAGATCAACTACATGAATTAGGGAATCGCCATCCCCGCCCCCAGAGGTTACCTCTCGTTCCAACTTGTATTGATGATACCATCTCCCAGCTTAAACAACGATCCAGCCCTTAACACATCCCGTCCGGCCTTCCTAATCGATTTAGCGCTCGCCCCGTTGATCGATATGTCGATATTATTAACACTAGCACTCACACTCGTCCGCGCTGGATCTACCGGTGATGCGGAGACCATGAGCAGACCAGTGGTATCCTTATTTGACATTCGGCTGGCAGTACGCGACCTCCCTCCAGGGCTATTCTGCGAGGCATCCCCATCCACCTCTGGGGTATCCTCACCCTCCTCCACTTCACTTATGTCGGAATCGTCTGGGACCTCCACCCCTTCCTCGATTCTCTTGTCCCGCCAGAATTTCCTTAGCCTCCTCTGGACCTTATCCTCCATCAATCTAATGTCGTCCATGGTCAACCCTGCCCATTCATCAGCCCAACACACACACTTTCGATGATACCTAGCAAGCTTAGAAATACCCCAATTGCTGTATCGGCGGCCTACTTAAAGAGGGTAGTCTTAGTAGCCTTCACAATGAAGCTTTCTACCCTATTCTGCATCATAAACCCTGGATTGCAAGTAACATGGATAACCTAAAGCCCAGTAGTAGTAGGAGGAGGAGGGCTAACGACAGACCCACCTTATAGCACGTCATGATGGGCCGGATAGTCTGCATCCAGTCCGGCCCCAATGGTCCTATGCCGAGCTAGCAAGCGAAGGAATATACACTCACTACAACAACCCTACAGGCATTACCTTTTCGCTATGCCACTTGGAGGGATCCTCCTCAGGGTTGTAGTCCTTACTAGATATATGATCGTTGACGACATCAATAAAGTCGATTTTCCGTTTAGCTAGGTCGGTGTCTGATATGAACACCCCTTAGACCCCCTCCGAGCCTCTGTGAGTACCGTCCATTTTCAGCGCGTTATCATCAGTACAGTTGCCTTCGATATGCATACTGTCAATTTCCATGGAGAACTCGCTGAGCATAGGACAGGAGTAGACAGTGCGGCATCGCGGGAAGGCGTTCCAACTCTTCTCATCGAATACCAGCCAATCGGGATTGACCAACGAGGTGACCCAAGAGGGCAAATACGGTGCTATAGAAATACGCTTGTGGGTGAATTGACCCTGGGTCTCTCCTGAGAGAGTATAACATCATAACCCACTGCACTAAATCATTGCTACTAACCCAACACCCTCCTAACTACCATCATCATATGGCTCATTAGTGACCACTTCCACACCGGCCCCTCCAGTAGTATCCTCCAGACTAGACTTTGCCACCATATACAGCTGAGCCACATGGTACTGCTCTACCTCCATTGGAAGAACTATTCTATACTCTTGAACTCTCGGCATCCCCACGCTTTACCCCTCACCCTCTGGGCTGCAATTATTACACTAAAAAGAGTAACTACCGAAAAGAATCTTAGGTTGAAGGCATTAAGATACAAACAAGGCCCAAATATTTGCCACCCGCACTCTACACTCAAGCATCACTACAAGAAACCGGCGTATGATCGGAAAGTGTCACAACTGTAGGACAGTAATTTCCACCGATTTCAGTACGTTAGCCAACGAAAGCCACCCCATCCCTATAGATACATGAGGAGGCGACTCCCCAAGGCCTCCACGAGGCAGCACCAACAACACCCTACAGATACGCAATAATGGAACTAGAAACTAATACAACAGTCGGGAGGCGACGAGTCGCTCACGAATTGGTCTCAGTGTAGAGGTCCACCATCGTGAAGGCTCTAGAAGGGGTCTAATCGTCATCCTCATCATCGGAAAAAGTAACGTGAGTTTTCTTAGCTTCCAACTTAGCCATCTCCTCCTCATCTTTGAAGAACGCTCCATATATAGGATGCACCTTCTTCTTGCTGGCCTTGAACCCTCCAGTTTGGTTAGCCAACTTAGCGAGCCCTTCAGACACCTACCAGCAGAGAAGTACCTTCCTATAAGCTCGTGAGAAAAGGCTTTGGTACTACCGGCTGTCCACAACGTTCTAGAAGGCCCTTAAGGTCGAAGGCGAACTGCTTCTCTTCATCAGCGTTAAAGATAGTCACAGCATTACCAGTACGACCAGCTCGGCCAGTACGACCAATTCTAAGAAAAATGCCCTACCCAGGGATCGAACCCATGACCATGTTCTACCTATGAACATAATCTTCAATGACCAATGGGAAGGTATAATTGATGACTCCCGTAACGTCCTTAACATCGAGCCCTCTAGCCGCGACATCAGTGGCGACCAGGATGAGGTTTTGACCCTCCGTAAACCTCTTGATAGAAGCCTCACGGGCCATCTGCGTCATGTCACCATGGAGGCCAACAACATCGTAATAGTCCCGAAGGGTCCTCTCCAGATGCGCTGCCTCCTTCTTGTACAAGGCAAACACGATCACCTACGACAGCAGACAAAGTTATCCACAGTACAAGTACGAGCTACTCCATCAGAAAGGGTATAGATATCTACGCACAGTGTAGATTTACCCATAGATGAGTGCCCCTCCCCGTTAGTATTATCAATATTACTTTCCAAACTCCCTTGTTAGGGCAAAGGTTGCCAAGATGATACCACAGACGATTCATCTTAGGCTTCCTGTCCTGTACGATATCGATAGTTTGAGTGATTCGTGTATTGGCTGTGAGCTCATCCTCATTGCCCTTCGTCTCGTTACTTCCCATCACCGTCACTGTTATCCGCTCGCGCTTCATCAGCTTCCTCGACAGCCTCCGTACCTAAACTCCCACCTGCCGTCCGAAGGCTCCCCAAAGGCATTACTACCTCCTTATTCCAAGTAGCTGAGAACATAAGAGACTGCCTCTTATCGGGCGATGGGAGATACCCAAAGATATCCGTGACACTAGGTAGGAAGCCCATGTCCAGCATTCTATCAGCCTCATCAAGAACAGCATAGTTGACCTTGTATAAGTCCAAAGAGCCGTCCTGGAGGAGATCCAAGACTCGCCCGGGAGTACCAACAACGATCCTAGGGTGCTCAGCCTTCAACTGTTTCTGCTGCTCCCATTTAGGCGTACCACCATAAAGGCAGATCGAAGGAAGCTTCTGCTTCTTCTTATCAACATCCACGATGACCTCATGGATTTGCCTGGCGAGCTCCCTAGTAGGGGAGAGTACCATCATCATGCTATCATCGCCCTTCTGCATGGCCTTTGACATGAAAGGCAACGCAAAGCCGAGGGTCTTACCGCTACCCGTCTCGGCAACACCAATGACATCTAGACCCGAGAGAAGGAGGGGCCAGCACGCTGCTTGGATGGCCGATGGGGTCGCGAACTTGTCCTTAAGATAAGCCCTTAAGGACTTCCGAAGACCTGACTCCTCGAATGTCCGTGCGAGAGGGACCTCAGTGGGGTCTGATAGACCTGAGATGTGGATAACGAGTGGTACACCTATTCCATGTCCAGTTACCAGCAACCTCTATCTTGGAGTCCCCATAGATGACTTCAGGAGGGCTAGGCTTGCCGACGGCAGCATCCACAGTTCTCTTCCTTGATACAGCTTCCGGCATTTTGGATATATAACGTAAAGGGTGGCTGAGAGACGATAGACCGGAGATGTGGCGAGAGAACTACACGCCTAACGTAGTCTCGGTTATCAGCCTTAGCTGACCAAGCTTGCGAAGATATTAGTGCGGCCAGGGGAGGCTTATTGTCAAGGTCTAAGCTTCCACCAGTGCGTCGCCTTGTTATGACTTACTGGGCGAGCGCTAAATCAGTCCAGAATTTGTCAAACCATGGAGAAGTCGAAATCTCCTCTCATAGCACACTGAGATTTGCCCTGTTATCATCTACTCTACCACGCCTAGGATGGGCCATCCCCATTTAAAGCAGCCGCCACCTTAATCGTGTATAGGGGTGCTGCGCTGTAGAGGTAGCCACGACGACGACAATAATCGATTACCAGGGCGCAGCGAGAATTGCACAATGCGTGTATGCGCGGACTCTATAGAGGCTAGCAGCAGTTGTTTTTGGTTATCGGGTATGCCCATTACGAACCATCTAGGCCACAAGGTCCTCTCTCCGATTACGGATAAGGAGGAGTTTGAAAAGGCATGCAAGAAGAACATCTATCACATGCTTATGTAGGATATTACCTGTTTCACATCCGTCTTCATATGCACATGGTCAACTACTTATTATGGTTGATTTTGTATACCCAAAATCGTGTAGATAGAAACTCACGAGCTCAGTTGAGGAGACGCTTTCCTCAGGTACTCAGCTCTGCAGGGGATATGTCAAGCCATCGCGCAGATGGGTATCTTCGATGCATATCTTTACGTTATGGCTGGGGACTCTAATAAAGCTGTCGGATGGGCTGAGTCCATCTCTGGGTTGAGTCAAGTCTCTGTTGCCATACCAGCAGGCATACTGGTCGATAAGTAAAATTAGGGGTGCCTCCTCTAGAGGGTATTCCCACGATGATAGGTTCTCTCGAGCCCTGATATGTCGATGGTGTGGTTGGTTCTCCTTGCTCATGGTCGTGTTATCAATATGTGGTATATACTATGACAATGTAAGTAGCCATGGTATTACTCATCGTCTACCTTTCTTTTTCAGATGATAGTCATATGCTTCGCCCTAGCTGTGGCTGGTGGCTACTTCGCAACACAGAACTGCGCGACCTACTCCCTTTTCGCAGACTCCATCCCTCAGGGTCACCGTGCTAAGTGGCTAACGCGAGCATCAGTGGTGAATCAGTTGGCCTCGGGGCTCGGACCATTTATTGGTCTCTTCCTGTTCGTATACTTTGGTAATGAGTGGCGACTAAGTGTGCTGCACACTGTGCTCATCATTGGTTTTCTCGGGTTCATCCCTGCCAATTTTTTCCTCTTTGGATGGACTGATGTAACCCATGAAGATGGCCTCGGTGGCAACGCAGGCCGATCAGGTGAGTGTCGTGACCTACTGTTATCGCAAATCGTCTTTCAGGGGCGCATGTATATCGTAAGACCACATCAGAGTGGACCTGGACAATACCGTATCTGATGTGTGCGAATGACTTCATCACATGTATAGGCGCCGGGATGACTGTGAAGTTCTTCCCACTATTCTTCAAAAACGACTATAACTTCTCGCCGACTCAAGTGCAGCTCCTATGGGCCTTCTATGGGCTCACCTTTGGGCTCTTCACATGGTTCTGTGATAAAGTAGCGAATCATGTGGGTAGAGTCCAAGCTGGAATCCTCTTCTCTACTCTTGGTGTTATATGCCTCTTCTGTCTGGCATGGGTCCGCTGGTTGCCCGCCGTTGTTTTTACCTTCTTACTCAGAGGGGCGGTCCAGAATGCGATATACCCGGTTGATCGATCGATCATTATGGACTTCGTACCATCTCACCAAAGGGGGAGGTGGAACGCCTTGGAGTCGCTATCGTCTATGACCTGGTCGGGGTCTGCGGTGATAGGAGGGTATCTGATGGATAACCATGATTATCGATATACCTTCGTTGTGACGGCTTATATTTATCTGGTGGCCTTGTTGATGCGTTTGCCACTGCTGAAATTGGTAGTAGAGAGGAAGGTCGTGGGTTCGATCCCTGGTGAGTGCATTTTGTTTTCTTCAGGTCCCTAAGGAGGAGAAGTTCACGTTCACGGAGAGTCTACTGAGTGTTCCAGAAAGCAATGCTAGTATGGATGAGGAGAGGATGAAAGTTATGGCGAGCCCACGAACGCCAAACTCTAAGTTCGAAAACTGAGTCTTCTTCCAACCTGTTCATCACGTTGTCATCTACCCACTTGACAAGTTTCGCCTCGACCATAGCAGTTGCGTTGGTGATTCGGCACGTCGTATCATCGTCCCTGATGTAGTTCTTATTGTTGTTCATAGTCCTCATCATGAACAATCCGAAGAGTGTATTAAAAACATGTGGTCTGGGGAGAGAAGTAATGTGGGGATCCTTTGGGGTCATCGTGTATCGTGGTAGGGCCCGTTGGGAAGGATGAGTAAACATATTGCAATGAGCTAGCGGAGCGATGCATCTTGCATCTTGAGTTTGGATCCAGAGGGATGCCGGTATGATCCTGGGTAGAGATGAAGAATTCGTGGAAGTGCTGTTGGATAACATCTGATAGGTACGATGGTCATATTTCGACTTCAAAATATGTCGCCTTTCAGGCTAGGGAGTTCGTGCAAACACCAGGATGTGGTGTAGCCGGTAAAGATAGATGAGTGCTTCCGAGGTCCCGGGTTCGATTCCCAGAGGGGGTGTTTCAGGCGTTGGTCAAGCCTAGCATGAGGAGCAGTTTTCGTGTGTACGGTCGTCGGTTCCCCAACGGATCGACCTGACTAGTGACGTTGCTATCATGTCTCCCTCGGTGACCGTGAGGATCGATGCTGATCAGGAGGGTATGGGTCTTTTGTGTAAACCGCAAGTGATAAGAAGGTATCTTAGCGCACAGGGAAGATTCTTACTACCAGGTGACATCAGCGAGGATGTTATTGTCATGTTGGATGTGATGAGAAGTATCATCCTGAGGCTGATGCCGATGGGTATTGCCACTATGACGATAGGAAGTAAACAAGGTGTGGTATGTCGTTCTGTATGAGACCATGGCCGGTTAAAGTGTTGGGGGGATTCAAGTCGTTTCTCCCTGGTTCGAATCCTGGTAGATGTACTTTTCTCAGGCTAAATTCCCACTGTTTGAGGAAGGTATGGTTTTGCTACGGAGCCGGATTGGGATGAATTCGTGGCGTTTCCGAGATGCAACACCTGCAGGCATGAACCTAAATTGACCAACACTGCTGCTTCATGGGAGATTCCTCTACAGTCGTCTCTCCACCACTTCAACTTGGCTATTGAGTTTGAGTGTCTTGATAGCTGCATACGAACGAGATCCGCACAGGTCATTGAAGAATTTCTTCCGAGTGTAGTTGTCGCTGAGAGGTTTTATTATTGCTGTGCGAGAGTCAGTTTTTTTGTATCAATCTCAACTGATGGAATACATAGGAGCGGGATCGTTCTTCTCGACGAGGGCGTCCCGAGGTAATAGCTGGTTGCGTAACTCCTCCTTCGGAAGGCTGGATGATTTGTTGGAGAAGGGCAGTCTTACCACTACAGAGGTTGGTAGCGTGATATGCTGGAGTTTTTGTGGATTGTTGATGTTAGGAAATACTAAGTAATGATGAAGTCGTGCAAGAACTACGGGCGGGATCGACAAAGTTGGTGGACAGGCTTTGTGAGAAGGTAGAGAAGGAAATGCGTCTGTGTTAGTAGCAGACAGGAGATCTGTTTTCAGTCTAGTCTGCAAAGTATAGTGAAGATACTCACTCAGTTGCCACCAGGTGGATCGTCCGATACTCGTAGGTAGGGGGACGGCTTCGCTCCGCTAAGGATATGATCATGTTTTAGGAAAATATCTTCTACCGTACGTATGCGTTGAGCTTATCAGCTGTGAGAATGATATTTTCCTGGACGCCTGGGTCCATGAGGATGCTACTACTGGATGGTCTGCGTTGAAGGAGCTGTTGCAAGCGGTAAACTTGGTGAATGTCTTGGACATGTGCCCGGTGTTGTATATATTCCAAAAATATATTACAGCTGATTTTAGGAGGTTACAGGTGACCTGAGGTAGAAGTGTACAATAACTGAGAAAATTCTCTCGGAATTTTCCCACATTTTTCATAACCATGAGCGTATTTTCATCTTCAGGAGGATTACTTAGAGTTGATTCTCGTGTTTTTCAGTACGTCTTGGCGTCAGAGTGCGAAGAACCGATGAATTGTGTGATATCAGGCTACATGTCCCGAGCCGTCAGTGTACTACTACCCGAGGTTTGGTCTTGGAATTTTACACCTTTTCTCAGAATATTTTTGAGAAGCGTCCTGTTGAAGTGGCGAATATAACAAGTAGGTTCACTCTCAGTTGATATCATTAGCACATTCGATGAGTGTCGAGCTTGTGCACGCGTGCGTTGGTAATTTTGATTATTATTTTGTCCTCAGAGAGCATGGAAGCATCATTGAAGACCGCATTTCTGGCACTACTGTATGACCTATCGACATGTGAGCTTTTGTATACCATGTTACTGACAACTGATGAGGCAGCTGTAGGAACAGGGTTAGGCTTGTCGCTCGAGGGATTCAGCCGTGCACTCCTTCATCCTTTTCATCGTTCGTTAGGTTGTCATTGATACGTGTTGCGAGGCAGGTCATACGTTATTAGGATTTCATAGGCGCAGGCAGACCGTGTTGAATATGTAGACTAAAATATCGGCCATTGGTCCAATAGTATTGAAATTTAATAAACGGATGCGTTGATTTTCGTTTTCGCTGCATTTCATCGCCCAAGCTGCAATGCGTCGAACTTATTATGTTCATGCTGTTGTCCTGACAGGTACCTTTTGCTAGGCTAGACGCAAGCGAATTCGTGGATGTTATTTGTAGCGAGACGGCGGCCAACACCGAGGAAGCATCTCGGAACTGTGCTGAGCTACTACAGAAGCTCCTATGCTGTACGTAAGGGTGGGCATGGGACTGAGGACAGTCGACCTAAGAGTGGTTATTGATTTGTTGTTGTTATCAGATCAATGCCCATCGGAAGATGCCAAGCCAGTGTACATACCGCGGTTGGCCAAGGGTCTTGTGGAACAGACAGATCGTCTAGTATGTCGCATTGTGACGGGGCAGGAGATCACCTCTGTGATGGGCGCTGCTGCTAATGCTGTTACTAGTTTGTTATTCAACTTGAAGGAGTCTGGAGGAGATGTTGCAGAGGAGGGTTGTGCAAATGATTGTGATGGAGGCGACGACGACTTCTGTTGCTATGTGGTGAGAATTCGTAGCATCGTACTAGGGACTATGATAGCTGTTTGCGTCCGTGTTGGTCTTACGACGTAGCCTCTAGTGCACATGAAATGACATCACTGATGAATACTGGGCTCCTGTGATGCAGTTCGGCTGTGTTGGAGGATGGATGGTATCGTTTACTCTTCTGTTTGCTTTATTAAGGAAGTGGTTTACGCTGAAGTCATCGAGTGTATGTGTCAGGCATCCACACCGAGTGGTAGTGGGGTTCCTACTATTGTCGATAGTGCTATGTCTTCGGCACCATCTCGAAGGGTCGCTGAATGTGTATATGCAAAGATAGATGAGTTGAGGATGATAGTAGAGGGCAAGGGGGCTGAGGAAGATGTGGAGTTGCTCACTGAGGTGGGGAGGATCATCTAGTGTGGCGTGGATAATCTCGGCAGGTTATATGCCTTGTCATGACAGCAATGACAGCTTGTTCGAATGAAGTAGCGGCGTCAGGTGGCGAGGGTCAGGTGGATAAACTCGTGGACCAGGAGTTTATGGTGGCTGCTTTGGATGCTACGATAGCGCGGCATTCTCGGTGCTCACTATTGGCAAACGCAGTCCTCGAGCTGAGTAGGGCATTGGGCCAATTGGGGGGGAAGGGAGTTATTGCTGATGCCCTGGTATGCGAGAAGGAAGCTGTGGAGAAGTGTCTGGCAGGAGAGGGAGGGAGGTCTATGGGGTAGGAGGTCTCTGGTTCGAATCCCACAGGTGTCGTTTTTACCACAAATATCTTGTATCAGATGTCGACCTCAAATAGCCGAGATAGTCCTCTCACTTGAAGACAACGACAAGGTTGGTGTCATTGAAGCATCGCTCCGCTCATTACTGGGTATCAGGGAGTGTCGAGGCTAGCAGTGGAGTCCCCAGCTGCCGAGGCTTACCTATCTAGATGGCGTTTGTCTAGAGGCATGAAGTTGGACCTAGGAGGGACCATAGCTGTACCGAGGAGTGTGGAAGAAGGCGGTGATGATACATGTCTTATCGAGAGTGTATAGTGAGGCCTAGTTGACATATGGTCTCAGGTCGTCCAGGAGTTTCTCTACCCTCAACATCATCGTCTCTGCTGCCTCTTGCTGCCTCTACCACCCCGTCGACTGGGAGTATGCTAGGAGATGATTCCTTAGACTCACCCGAGTTCTTTCAAGCTGGTTCGCATCATGATACGTCTCGGTCACCGACGGGAAGGGCGCCGACACCTGAATGGCCCGGCCCTGTCCCGAGTGATTGGGTTGACTCTGAGGGTACGCCAGGTGGTTGGCCGGTGCCGGAGGGGCAGGGGGGCAACAACAACAACAGCAGTAGCGGCGGTGGGTTAGTGGAGTGGCCGTCTGGGCAGGATGATGAGGGTTGGGTAACCTCACCTACTGTTAGTGACACTAAGTGGGTGGGGGCATCGACTCCTGTGGGGTGGCCGGATGAGGGGGATGCCCAGTTGGGTAGCCGAGATGAAGGTAAGGTGTGGAGGAGAGTGTGGGGAGAAATATGCACATGCTCAACTACATGTGTTGTTGACAATTGTGAGGAAATTTTATTGGTTTCTATACACCTGTACCCGAATTCATGTGTAAAGTTGTATAATTAGTGAGGAAGTCTACTGAGGAAGATGAAAATATTTTCCAGGATTGTTGTGCAGATTCTGGGGAGGGGAGGAGCATGAACGAGTCAATAGACTTGGTGGAGGCTGATGTTAGCGAAGGCTCGAGTGTCTCTGATAATGGTAGTGAAAATTGATGATCTTGTTCGTAATTTCTGTTACTTTAACGAGCTGTTGACGTTCCTCATGGGTATGTGGCTGTTATCGATCATAGTAGTATTACAATCCTCATTATATAGTCATGACCTTTTCCCTGCCCTTCCACCACGGTAATAGTAGTCGACAAGGAGATGGGGATAGTCGTGGGAGGAGGAATAACAACAGCCCACATCAACAACAAGAGCAGTATCATCTGGGTGCTGCTGGCGGTGGCCCTCCAACAACACCAATGAGGATGATGCCAGCTGGTGTGCCCAACCAGCAGCGACCAGCAGAATCCAGAGGATTTTTTAGCAACCTTGTAAGCGGAGTGATGCTGCACTCGTGGGCTTTAGCGATGATGATGGACGAGGCCTCAGGGCAGGAATACTCTTGTTTTAGTTCCAAAGCTCCTCCTCCTCCTCCTCGACGGCGGGCGTACCAAAAGCACCTCCGAGTAGCTCAAGCATCTTGGGGCATGGGCCACACTCCCCAGGAGAACAACAACAACAGATGGGATATGGTGGAAGAAATCACGGAGGGAGAAGTGAGTGGGATAATTTCGGGGCGCGCGGTAATTTTCGGCCTCCTGAATACCTGGACGGTCGTGTGGATGTGTGGTGGGGCGGAGTGTAGCTCCTTGTAGGAGGGGCCTCATCCTCAGCGTCATTGTTATATTTCTGAAGGCGCCTATCAGATGCTCGTCGATCGCAGACCCCACCATTTAGGAGGCAACAACAGCAGCAGCAGACGCCCCCACAGCCGGACCGGGACCCCGGCGATGAAGACCTCCATAACGTTCTGAGGTTGGTAATGGGCGGGTCGGGTGTCCTCTCCTCTTTGCGGGCTCGCTGCCCTCAAGGGACTTGCCTCGTTGGTTTAGACAACTACGCAAGATGACAAGTGGCAATAAAGCAGCTACAAGCAATGCATTGGAGTGGATAACGCATGAGCTGCAGAGAGTCTTCGCGACGGAGCATGTAGGGAAGGAGGCCCTGAGGTCGTTGCGGTCATGGTGGTGGCTGTAGGCCAAGAGTGATGCTGGTCTGGATTTGGCAATTCTCACGGGCATCTGTGAGCAGTGCGGGAAGCTGGGTTATGATGGTCCTGTTAGGGATATGTGCGCTTACGCTGCACCCCGTCTGGCTGGGAGTAGGATTACACGAGGGCGTGGGTTCGATCCCCGGATGGTGCATTTTTGTAGGTACCCCTCGGGTTGCTGTACAAATGTTGTGGGCGCATGTGAAGGTTGGATTAAATGAGGCGGAGTTTTTACGTGCTGAAGTCACGTAGGACCTCGCCATCCCCAATTCCCAACCATCAGGGTCGTCTTGGTCAGGTACCTCTGTAAGCATCTGTCGGTGTATGTAGCCCAAGACATCTCTCGATCGATTTGGGCCTTTGCCAAGATCGACTGGTATGAGGGTATCGACTTCAGTGCGGTCTGCGATAGAGTAATAAAACTGCCCATCCCTTGGCCCTGTTATTGGCCTTATTCGGCGATATTCTTCGCTGTGCGCAAAGATTCCTTATCATTGTTTTTCGCTCGCTTGTGCTCAGATTTTATCCCAAGCGGATAAGTACAATCCCCAGGACCTGTCCATGACGTTGTGGGGACTAAGTCGGTTGGTCGTTCACATATCGGATCGATCTCGTGTGAAGATGGTCTTCGAGCGCTGTGGATATGTTGCTCTCATGCACGCACAGGTAAGAGTAGTTTGTATAGGAGTTGGACGAAAGATGGTATGCACGCATGCGCAGGCTGGAAGGCTCAATCCTCAAGATGTTGCCACTATTCTGAAGTCCTTTGGTCGTGTTGGCATAAAACATGATGACCTCATCGCAGCATGCCAAGTTTATGTTGCACAGTTTGCGTCCAAGTAGTTTGAGGAGGGGGAAGCAGTGATAGTAGTAGTAGGGCCGGTGTTATGCTCAGGTTCACTTGTGAAGATCTGACCTCAGCAGCATGGGGACTATGTAAACTCGGCTATCACGACTCGGTATGTTGTGATGCTATAGCAAGGCAACTGGATGAACATCTTGATAAATACTCACCGGCTCAACTGAGTGAGAGAAGAACCCATATGATCATTTCCCGCAGAGGTTCGATCCCTTGCTCAGGCACATGTCTATGGGCATTAGCATACATGGGCATGGATCTGGCTGCAAAGGACCCCCAGTTGGTTGATGCCACGGCAGCTTACGTGAAGTCTAAGAGCTTCCGATTCTGTATAGCTGATATATGTACGAAGTGGTGAAGGCGTGGTATTGACTATTCACCTTCTCTCAGCGACCATCTTGAGCGCCTATGGGAGAATGGGCGTTTGTGATTGCTGTGCCATCGACGCTTTAGCCGACCGTGCTAATCTGATTAACTCTACTACTGGTCTAGCAGCTCAGGACGCGGCGATGATCCTACATGGTATCGTCAAACTCGGCCATACGGGTTCTAACTCAGTGAGGAAGGTACCGAGGCTATTACTGTTGAGTAGTGTTACTCACAGGTGATGCCACTCATCGAGGAGATATGTGATGTACTGCGTGATGACCTCGCTAGCTTGTCGGCACAGAGTGTCTCCCTATGTTTGTGGAGTGTCGTTAGGATGGGTCAGACTGAGGACTACCCGGATTTGGTAATATCCAGTATGTTTTCTTCCTCAGCTTAGGAGGTTAGGAATTGGTTCGGTAGATAATGAAAATTCACACAAGACTCGGGGTAGGAAACTAACGATGATTTTTAGCGGAATTACTTTATTGGTAGATGACCATATGCATATTCTCCCACACTGGCCATAGGATGTATATCAGATTGAAGCCTGCGCGAGGAAGCTCCGTGATGATGCTCCTGAGTTGGCCCCTCACTGTCTGTCGAACTCCATGTGGGCCCTAGCCAATACGGCCTATGGTGATGCGTCACTATGGGAGGAGCTGGCGGAGTGCTGTGTGAAGCAAGTGACGACGTTCTGTATTCACGACTATGCTAATGTGTTGACGGCATTGGCGAAGAAGTCGAGGGACTTGCCTACATTGAAGGACTCCTTCACCAGGATTGCAGCTATGCTTTTTGTAAGTTGTTGCTAGCTTCCTCGACGAGATGCTATTATTCAGGTGATGAGAGTGGACGACGAGAACTGTACTTGTGGTAAGGTAACCAAGTATGACTTGGGACGTCTGAGATGGTCCTTTAGGGAGGCCGGTAATGAGCGGCGGTAGTACCACAGGAGGTCCTTAGGTCGGCGATGGCAGGTATGAACAACTCACCAGCATGGTTTGAAGGTGTCTCTACTGCTCCTGCTATCCATGATGCCTCCCTATCACCTATGCTAGTCTTGGATGGTGTTATTGAAGTGGACCCTCAGCCATGTACGCTGTCACTTCCTCGGTTATATCTGTCGCAGTATGTCACTGTGTGTAGGTACGGGGCATTGTCCTCATCTGGGGTCGAGGATGGCTATGGGAGGTGGCGATGCTGCTGCTGTTGGTATCGGCTCTTTTACAAGAATGCCATCACAAGACACGTCCAGTGGTGGTGGCAATAAATCTGTCTTAGACGATGTGATACCGGGCAGCATGGCTCATCTGGAAGACCCCAGTAGGCGGTGGGGGCTCTGAGGGGCCATCGTGATACTCTTGATTGTAGGTCGATACCTGACTGGGCTATCTGATTGGCAACAACAAATGTTGGGGATGAATGCTAGCACGAGTGATGCGGCTTTCGGAGGCTCGGTTGATCCTAGCAGTCCGAAGGGTAGTTCCTACGACCAAGGAGATGGCAGCGCTGCAGTGCCTGTGTCGGTGAAGAACACATTCCTGAATGTAGGGAGCTTTCTATAGTAGTACTACTAGCTGTGGTGATGGCTAATTGTCAGTTCGAAGACCAAGCGAACATGCTAGCAGCAGCGGGAAGGCCGAAGTCGATCTGATCATTGCCATACTGGGATGGACAGTGCACGACGTACTAGTCTTCTTATTCTCGCTTTCCTACATACGCCCTCAAGTTAACATTCATCGTACTAAACATTGTCGTTGCCAGTTTTCGCTCTTTACCACACCATTTGAGTACTAACTCCCTGGATTGAAATCAAGGATGGTCGTCGTAGAGCCTCTTATCGAGTTGTATCCTTTCTGAAGGCTCAGTGGTTGCTATCCTTATATATTGGTAATCTTGTAAGCTTGTGGACCATCTATCTCGACGGCTACCATCAGTCGATTCCAGTTAGCTATGCTGTTGTGTTAATATTAATATACAGACTTGTTGTTTGTGGTGGACTGTCGAGTGAGCCATCATATCTCCTTTTGTGGTTGATGCCAGGATGGGAGACAGCTTTGTGTCGTCGCGTCTTGTTCGTTTAGGGAGCTCGGGATGTCCTCCCTGTTATTTAGGATGTTGGCTAAGGAGGAGTAGCGTTGGATTCATACTTGGAGTAGAAGTACTCCGGGGGTGGCGAAGTCTGTGTTGATAAAATCATTCACACCGCTTTGGTAGTTTCCTTGCCCGCGCATATGCCGGGCGCATGGGACCGAGTACGCATGATCCGTATTCGTCATGGTTTCCTCATGGTACAGTACTCCCTTCGCTGACTGCTGATTCGATGAGTTTCTACCCTTCTTCTGTCTACTGTTTGTCTTGTCAATCCATCTATGCTTGTTAAACGTGTGCATGAATGATTGTTGTGATCGTTGGCAGAGATGTTGTTGTACGTAAAATGTTACGCCTTAGGCGTATGTGTTGAAGACTTCTGACAATGAGAGCGCCTATAGTTTTAGACTGCAATTGTATTCTTGCAGTAATATGTAACTGGATCAGGCCTACGAAAGAGGGCATCGTATCTTCGGAGGCGTACAGTTTACAACGCCTTGCAACATCCTCGGTATCCACCAGGATGCTAGCGGTCTTCTACCATTCATGAGGCTTCTCATCGTTGTGGGTGGGATTATCAACTGTATTGGTTATCTTAGTATGGTGCATGAGTCGGCCGAGCGACCCCTCCCAGAGTCGACCATATCGGCCATAGAGTGAGGGGCACTGCTCCGCCCTGCGAGGCCGTGAGGTGCCCTCCTTAGGGCCACGTTCCGGCTCTGTGATGGTGATGGGGACGGCCACATCACAAAGAAGGAGGCTACGATGCTGCTCAGGTGATCAGTGTGGTGGAGTGGATTGAGCTGTCCCTGTCAGAGCTTTGGGACACATTCCTACTCAAAAGCAATGCTCTGAGTTCCTCCAAGAGCTACCGAATGCAATCACTCTCGATGATTTCATCGACCGTTTGAGTAGTGAATCTCCCTAATGGTTTCCACGACACGTACTCAGATCAGCACTATACCCCGGCATTACCCTTGGACCGCCTTATAGGAGCATTTCAAACACTAGAGCCCTCGAGAACGGGTAGGCTGTTCGGTTAAAGGGGAAGCTGTACTAGGCTTAGGTGTGATGGCTGGTGATACATTGAAGGAGCTTATTACTACTGTTGGTGAGAAGCTGAGCGAGGCTGAGGTAGGGCTCAGTGGAGGGGCCAGTCGATTGCATGGTAGGTTGAGGAAGTCTTTAAGGATATCAAGCTCGATAAAGACGGGAATGTCCACTATGTTGATTTGGTTGAGCTGTGAGATGACGATGGCTTTGACCTCGCTGGCTGAGCTCTATCATGGTTGGATTCAGATTGACGACCTCACCTGCAACTTCTCCACTGACTTGGAATGACAGTTCTCCATCAGATAGTTCTTGAGGATCAATATCGTCGATCCTCTACTTTTCATGGAGCCATGTTCAACTAGTGATACTTAAAACCTTTTCTCATCAGTGTTAGTAGTGCCTCAATGTGAATGTATGGTAGAGTACACTATTTTATAATACTATGGGTGTAAGCGGATCTCGAATGCGGCATAATCGTCGGTGTATAAAAACGGACGATGTGTTGCAAGTACGGGAGACAGGCAGTCCCTCGAAAGGCAGCGATACAGCGATCGTAGTGGATTATCATAGCCGGCCTCCCCAGGCTGGGGAGGTCTCCCAAATAGTAAGAGTACAGCATCTCCTCCTCCTACTGTAGTGCCCCTTCTTAGAGAGGGGGGATCCACTCGAGCCGTCTAGCATCGATATCGACTGTTGCCACCGACCCTAGTAGCATCTGCGAGTGAGTAGTGATGGTGGTGGAGTTATGGTGATGACAGTGTGGCCGACTCAGGAGGGCGCCGACTGGGGCGGAGGCGATGGCTTTACGTAAAGTAATGGAGATACACGACTCCCACTTCCCAGGTCAGGGCTTGCTCATGCTCATCATCATCATCGTCGTCGTTAACAGCTTGTGTTGCAGCTAATGGATACATCCGGTATGTACCCTACCTGAGCAGTTCTATTGCAGATGCTACTATCATCAAGAGGCGGGCATCCAAGGGAACTGAGGTGGGGGTTCTTTCATGGGGTCATACCACTCCAAACGCAACTCGCGTCAGGCCTCCCAAACAAATGAGTGTACGACCTCAAACCGGGAGGCTCACTCGATGGTAGACGCGCCATGACAGTGTGCCGCTGATTGTTATCATCAGTATCTATTCTTCTTCTTGTTGTGTTCTCTCGAGCTGCCCGGCCTTTCGTGTCGCCCTTGTAATAATTAATACCTCTCACTATGTCCGAGGTGACTCCAACTCCAAGTCCGATGTGAGGTTGATAAGCTCAAGCTCTCTGGATAAGCTGTGAGTGATGCTCTTAGGTCTCCTAGTAGTAGTAAGAAGAAGAAAACGACGGATGAGCTGCTACTGCAGCGAACGGAGGAGCTGCGCCTTCTGACACGTTAGTGGCGGCGGCCTTTGCTATGGCCATCTACGAATGGGTTTTATCTTCAGATGAAGCCGCTGAGCTGTTGGGTGAAAATAAGGAGTTGCGAGGAGAGATTGGACGACTGAGTGATGCACTAAGGTCTGCTGCTGTTGCTGTTGCCGTCATCATCATCACTGCTTATGTCTGCCTTTAGAGAGGCGCTTGAGAACCCAACAGATGGTGCTGAAGATGAGCTGCACGAGCGGACTCGAGAACAGAACGAGGTGTTGGACACGCAGGTATGGTCTGCTTATCGTCTAAGAGGTTATTGATGTGCTCCGTAGAACCACCTGCTGAAGGAGGAGATATGCAAGCTACAAGTAAGCAGCTACCTTTGATTGCTATGCTGGTGTCAAGGCTTAAACGCTGTAGAGTGCTGTGGGGCATCTAAAGAAGCAATATCAGGAGACCAATAGTCGCTACAATGAGGCTGAGGCTAGAGCTCAAGAGGTGAGCAGCAGGAGGTATGGTAACAGGAGATCTGCATTATCTACTCTGTGAGTATCTGATACCCAGCACTGAACGGAACAGCACGCATTGTTGGATGTGTTTCTCACAAGCTGATCTCCTGTGTAGTTTGCACGACTATTGGCCCGTTCGGAGGAGCGTCGATCTATTGTGGAGGGCAGACTGGAAGAGCTCTCTAGTGAGGCTCAGACAAGCGAGGAACGCCGAGCTCAGATTGAAAGAGATACTCACACTGACCGGTTGGGGTGATTATTCTTATCTGAGTGCAACAGATCGTCCTAGGCAACAACGCAAGAGCCTCGAAGACGCCTTGCAGAAGCATCGGGAGGAGTTGCGGCAGAGGAACAAAGTAGATTGGGTAATTCCGATGAGTGTAGGGATGCTGATGACAGGCACTGCAAGACGCAGAAAGTAGAGCTCGAGCAGCGGTCGAGCGATTGCATACTCTAGAGCTCAATAGTGCAAGGCAACTCCATAGAGTCAGTTTATACTCGACCTTAGCAGCGCCTCTTGATGGCTCAGCTACTGTCTCTTAGCTCGAGGAGCGACTCGAAGACTCAAAGTCCCAAATAGGTCAGCTGATGAGCGATTTGAATATCTCCCGCACTGAAGCTGATGAGGCTAATAAGACAGTCGTGAGTGGACTGAGTCTTCCATGATAGAATAACTATCGATCATTGGACTCGTTGTAGAAATCCCTCGAGAAACGACGGGCCGACACTCAGTTCCGACTAGATGACTGTAAAGCTGAGCTGATGGAGGTTCGTGACCAGCTCGCGGACTTGCAAGCAGCGAGGGATCGGGCCGGTCTACAGGTGACAATGCTCTCATCTAATTAAAAATGGCTATTCATATACTGTTCGTGGCTCTCCAGGAGCAAGTGCTGAGTGAAAAGCTCGAGCATGAGGTAAAAACGAGGAACGCAGAGGTTGCTCAGCTGAAGCGAGATGCTGCCGAGTCGTTGGCGTCAGAAAGGGAAGTGTGGCGCCGAAAGTGACTTGGGGCTGCAGTCGGTCGTTGGTGTAGATTGCACGAGTATTTTCAGATGTGGAGAACTGGAGGGTAAACTGGAGGTAGCAGATGAGCTCGCTGCCAGTCTCCGAGTAATAACTACGTAGTTGCATCATTCGTATGATGTGGTTGATAAACACTGGATGACTTCCCTGCAGGCTCGAATCTGCACCCTGGAGGAGGAGGTATCATCATTACGCAAGGCTAATAATGTATTAGATCGAGAGATAGATCGTGAAAGGGAGCTTCGAAATAAAGAGGTGAGTCAAGTCGTTCGACATCGGAAGCCGTAGCACGCTGCTGCCTGTCCTCAGTCGGAGGAGCTGCAATCGTCGCGGTTAGCCCTGGTGTCAGAGAACGACGAGTTGGACAGACGAATACGTGCATTGCTAGATGAGCTCAGCATCGCCCGGACTGCGTTGAAGACCCAGTGAGCTCTCGGTCCCCTTACCCACCGTGAAATGAAGCCTTAGGGAAGAGGTGACAGCAGCACGAGCCGTTGACGTAACACAAGAGGCTGAAGGTCTTGTCAAGCGCTGTGCGAAGGCTGAAGAGGAAGTAGTGGTTATGAGAAAGGAAGTCGAAGTGAGCTGCTGATAGTATCAGTAGAAGGGTATGATGAAATGGGGATGTTAGGCTTTACGGATGGAGAACAGCCGACTCGTGGAACAGTTGGAGAAGGAGGTCACTCACCATCGTAATGCAGTTGATAAGAAAGACCAGGAGCTCATGACGGCCGCGCATCAAAATGAGGCTGAAGTAAGTCTTCTTTCTTTTTCGACGATGATAAGTATGTCGTCACCGGGGCTCGAACTGGAGTCGCCTGAGTGAGAGCCAGGCATCTTAACCAGCTAGATTATATCGGAGATGTTCAAGTGGTTTTGTGTATCATGCTCCATGTAGTGTCATACTATACGTCGTTTGTATAGCTCGCCGCTCGGCGAAATGAGGCCGAGAAACTTCGCAAGCAGTTGGAGGGTTTGAAAAAAGATTGGGTTGAACGGGAGGATGGTCTCAAACGGAAGATGCAGGAGAAAATTGAGGTATGGGCGTGAGGTAACTCTCACGCACCGTCTGTGTTGATGTCAGCACCTCGAGGGGCAGGCTTCACGATGGCGGATTTCTAGTGAGTCGTTTAGGCGGAAGAACCAAGAGTTGGTTCGTGCTACTCTAGTGAGTGCTACTTCAGCAGTTTACATCCTCGTCCGAGAGAATTTATGATACCCCTCATTGCCCCGTGTCAGATGAACGGACTCGAACTGGAAGTTTAGTATGATCGCCGACATGGTATGATTGGTTCATTATCTACTCACTGTGTTTGGTTTCAAAGTGGGCAGGTCGGAACACGGGCGGCTGCGAAAGAACACCTCGATGAGTATTCCACACTGCCAGGTTGAGAATTTCGGCTTCTAACATTGCCGTGCCTACTCAGCTCCATGTCATGTCGTCAATCACGATTAGGACATTACGAACATGATATGCAAAGGAGTGTACCACTGATCCGTAACTCACCTGCTTAACGTGAATAGCGGTGGAATACTCTCTGTGAAAAACGTAATATTCGCGATATGAAATGATATTCCCCTATTGGAATGATGCGATCGTATACCACTCAGCGCGTGGGTTATGGTATATGTTTCGGAATCTGAAGCACATAAGTCACTGTAGGCGTTACGACCCCCGATCTCCTTTAACCGGGATGAATCATAATTCCGCAGATCCAGGCGTGAAAAAAAAATACTTTCGCGTTTCACGTATAATGTGTAAAACATTTCAAGTGTTCTTTCAGATGCGTTTCCCCATGAAGTGAGTTGTGAAATGTTTTTGACTAGCGTTCTTCATATCACGGTTAAAACTGCGATGTAGGTATTAAATAGTCAACTCGTTTCCTCGCACCATTTCTGCGACATCCATTCTATTTCGGCTGTTAGTGACGATCACCATAGTGGGCCTACGTGGACACGATCACCTACGATCGCTCAATCAGTAACAGTATGCAACGCCTAGTATACAGTTGTGTACTACCCTGCGCAGGCTGGGCCACGGACGCTTTTGATCCCGAAGGATACATAGCTTTACTGGTAAGCGTATGCGTGCAGACCAAACTTCATTTCCGGATAAACCTTTCCTCAGTGAAGTACATTAAGAGACCCCAATTGTTTTATTGCTCGATGGCATCCACTGTCGGACTCGCTTCTCGTGCTCTTCATTTCCTTCACTTTTTGGTATATATCTACATTTTGCATACTAGCCCAGATGGCCAATGGAATTTCTGTTACCGCTGACCTCCCCAGTAATACTATTACTAATACCCTGGTAAGGTTGGTAATACCTGGTAATAATTACCAGGTATTCCCAACCTTCACGGAGGGAGGCGCCACACGTCGGGGCGAAGGTAACCCTTATTTTCACACGTCGCGAAGTCTATCACTTCACGTTGAGAGCTTCCACGTCGTTACCCCACGTATCCCTGGCATATTCTTCATTTTTCGATCGATAAGTTCGAAAATGAAAACGAACTCCTCCAAGTGTGAACTGTGACTCGAGGCACCTTGCGGAAAGGATCAATATCAAGCTTATATTGCGATTAGACTTGTCTACAGCATTTCCAGGTCAATTGAATTCTTTTGAAAAAATACCACTTTTTTAAATCTTTTACCGACTGATTTCAACTTATTACCCAAAATTTTAATTTAATAGCTTGTCTTTTTAAAAACATACCCACTTCAATTAACGACGTCAAGTTAATAAAATTCGGGTGAGTTATTAAATTGACCTGGAAATGCTGTAGACTCCCCACTAGCTTGCAGAGGATCCGTTCGAGAGATACCAAACTCTCGCGACTGCTTGTTGCCCGAACAACTGCTCGACAACTCAACCAAGAAATGCCAACCGAACAGGGAAGGAATACTTCACCGATGGAAACGGTGACAGCTATGAGTACAAGGAGAACCAAGCAGCAGTTGCGGTATCAGTAATATCATCAGAGTAACTTGGAGGTTACCAAGCATCAGCCCAGGAGTCCTCAGGAGGGGTAACGGCTAAGTAAAAGACAATGATAGGCAACAATTGCAATTTACAGTTATTACATCGAGCTGGTTGCGGCCTAACGGCTGGCTTTTGATGCATACCAGCGGCTCGAGTGTTGACCCTGCAAAGTATAGATCCCTGCAGAACTTAGTGCATGCTGCTTACACTGGGGCCGGAGGTGCTACGCCAGGTCTGCCGAGGAAGCCAGCACTTCTGTGTTCATAACGTTGGAAATCTCCGCGTCCAGTAGGTTGACGGACATCTCTACTGGCAAATCCACCACCACTACGTCCTCCTCCTCTACCCTTGCCACCACCTAAATCGGCAATATCAACGACAACAACAATAACTACTGAATTCACCTCTGCCGAAACGACCAGAGGCGCTAGTGGTCTCTTGTACTAGACTCATGAACCATTGTGGGATTTCCTGCTTGTTCTCTTCGAGCAAAGTCTGAGAAATAGGATGGCATACCGCAAAGAAGCGAATTGATGTAGTCACCCATAGATCCCGGAGGATCGGCTTGCTGCCCTCGTTCACAAAGGCTATGGCTGTCCCCAGATTACCAGCTCTACCCGTTCCTGAAGAGAAGACCTCCTTTATCTCTAACAGGAGTAATACTGTAACCCTCTTACTGCCGATACGGTGGACGTAATCATCAATGTTATTAGGAAGATCGTAGTTGATAACGAGATTAACGTGGCTAATATCCAAGCCTCTCGCAGCGACATCAGTAGCCACAAGAATGGGCAACTCTCCCTAACATACAATTATTCATCCTCTCGTCTTGCCGAGACCCATACGCTCTTAAAGGCTTTCAAAGCTTCCTCCCGCTCCCACTGTGATCGGTCACCATGAATAGATGTTGCGGGATACCTATCCTTATCATACGCCCTTCCAACGAGTGTCTTGACACTCACCTATCTCTTCTGAGCATATTTTCAATCTCATCTGCTTTACGTTTGGTCTCCACAAAAACCTAACACGGATCAGCTTAGACGCCCTCCTATCCTTATCCATTATACCAGTGTCAACCCCTCTTCCGTTTGCTCTTCCAATACGCGGTACAAGTCCCTCAACTTTGAGTTTTCATCAACGTATCTATCCAATGGAAGCAAAACTATAATTACTAAATCCACAATCTAAAGTACCTCATGATCTGCTTGATGGAGCCGTGGGTCGATCCAACACGCCCGACTGAAATAACAACACTTGTCCATCAAAGCCTGTAAGGAGGAGGAGGAAATCACCAGTTAGGTAGATGTAGTCCTTGAGGAAGTCCCGGGCAAGCTGCTGAATCTCTCTAGGGAAAGTTGCCGAGAACATCGCACCTGAGGTGAAGGACTTTCTGATACAACACATGAGTGCTGCTGCTGATCGATGATACTCTGTCTGCCATCCCTCGAACTAGGCATGTCCTCCTGTTCCACAATACGCCTAATTTGAGGTTCAAAACCCATATCCAGCATTCTATCAGCCTCATCGAATATAAGCATCTTGATTTGGCACAGGGACACACGAAATCTACAAGGAGTAATATTGCGAGTGACACCACCGTCCTCCTCCTTCTCCCTCACCTCTCCATAAGGTCAGACAGCCTACCAGGGGTCGCCACGAGTATATCACAACCCCTTTCCAGCTCACGCAGCTGAGTACGGACATCAGCACCACCGTACACAACAACAGGGCGGATACCTACACCACCACTAAAAGGGGGAGTTGTCGAATCACCAATCTACCAGTATTAAAGCAGAACTTCCGAGCTTCCTCGTGGATCTGGGACGCTAGTTCTCTAGTAGGTGATAGGATCTATAGCAAGGAGAGAGTGCTCAGAAGCGTTGATCAATGATGACCCTCCTCACCAGTGTGATGGGATAGGCCTTCCTACGCCCATAATCTCCACTGGACGTCGCGTCCGGCGGACCATCAGCGAGCATATTATGAATAGCAGGGATAAGGTACGCACCTACACCTCAAGGCATTCTACTTAAGCGTATTGATAGTAGTAATACCAGTCTTGCCGCTACCAGTCTGGGCACACGACATGAGATCACGCCTAGTTGTAAGAGTTGGGATAGAGTACTTCTGCACAGGTGTAGGACGGTCGAAGCCACACCTGAAGAGGAAGTTGGTGGTGATGATGCCTCCCCCTCGACCACCCTGGTCGTCACCTTTTAATATTCTCCACGATAGCCGCAGCGACCTCGCCACCATCGTTGAACTGCTCCAACGGGGATATTTCAGCAGCCCCCGCACCGGAGACCTCCACAGGGATCTTATCGTACCTGACGACGACGTTCATGAACCCCACCCCCGACCCAAGGTGATCCCTAGTACTGATCAAAGTTGATGCCAGCATGGACAGCATTCTCCTGATCAAAGAGTTCCCTCTCATCCTCATATGGTGGCCTCCGACCGTCCCGACGAGCCCAGGTCCCATCCCCTAACACATCACTACTGACCGCTACCACCCTGCCCTTCAGGAACTTACCCTGTGGAGGAGGTTGGGACCAATCTAACCTGTCGTTGGCGCCTCTAGAGTGACCACCGTAACTACAATATACTACTCCTTCCCCCCCAGCCCCTACCCTTCCTTATTACCTTGGCTTAGATCCGAATCCGAAACGTTCATGATCCCGAGGGGCAGCACCGAAACGAGAGGAGCCGCCTGATAGCAATAATAGCCTTGATGAGCCCGAGCCTTCCCACTTACCAAATCCCCCCTCATGTGATCGGTCTCTTCCTTTGCCGCCACCGAAGGTCCTAACACGAGGAGTATGGTAAGAAGGTCTACGAGCCGACCTATTACGAGTAGGAATCTCTGGATGCACCGAATCTACTTGATGATGAGGAGGAGGAGGTCTGCCTACCAAAGGCTGAATGACCGAATGCTTCTTCAATATGACGTGTGCCGTGCTAACAACAACAAGCATATTATGGGAATCCCTACTACTAGTACTAATAAAAAGATCACTTACATGGGGAGCGGTGTCGACTTGGGCGGCGGCCTCGGCTTCCATTTGCCTGCGTTTATGAGGAGGAACGTACCTAGGGAGTAGGATGGTGATAGTTGGTGTGACTGGTAGTAGTACTTAGCGGCAGCAGAGGGTTGGGGGTTCTTCGTGGAAGAACCGTTCAAAGCTGCTGTGGCATTGTTCGTAGTGTTACTAGAAGGTACGTGGTTCATGGATATAACTACAACAACGACGACAGTGCTCTTTCAATACAGCTCAGGAGCGAGAGAATCTTGACCATTTCCGGACCTTATCTGAATCCAACCAGAGTGGAACATAAGATATTCCCTAGGGAACAACGCGTGCAATTGTAGCGATAAATTCGCTCCACAAAATGAAGAAAATATTTTTTTTCTCGTCGATCACATCGACGGAAGCATTGATTTGAGTACCGCCTGAAACTATACTGTCCCTAGAGGAACCCCTCCACTCTGCTACTCCCTCCCCCGAGTCCCCAGCAACCCTCGACGAAAATCGACAACAATACTCACTTCGCTCCGCTGATCAATATCTCGCCCGCCAAGCTGATCGATTAGCCATTAAATCGCTGCTGATCTTCCTCCATCACCCGCTACCGGGGCCGAGTGTCCGCACAATCCGGGTCGAGTGTCCGCACCCGCGGAAGGTGTGCTTAAAACCTTGGAGTAGGCGGGCCTCCGGGCCCGCCGTTAACCCGAAATCCTTCAGGCATCCACGTAGCATCCCACTGATGCCGATAAGAGCCACTGGTACGAACTACTAGACGCGCGCGCGGTTTTCGTGCAGATTGCAAGAAATCACGTTGTGGTGGAAGAAACTGCCGTCACTGACGACCCGTCAACTGCGGATGTTATCCTCAATATGGAGTAATTGGTACCCTTCATGGGTAGTCTGAAATGTGATGAATGACATCGTGTTTATTTCTAGTCGTGTAGAGTAAGTCCCGAAGGGAAATTTCCATTTTTTTACAATTTATAGTGTCTCAACTATGTCATATACACTCATCCGGTTGCAATTCCGGAATCAAGCACCACTACTAGAGCATCGGTAATTGTGTTTGGTGATCTGGAGCCGAGTCATAGACCCTCAGCAGTGTCTCAACTATATCATATACACTAATCGGGTTGCACTTCCGGAATCAAGTATCAGTTGTAGAGTATCGGTAATTGTGTTTGGTGATCTGGAGCCGAGTCATAGACCCTCAGCAGTGTCTCAACTATATCATATACACTCATCGGGTTGCACTTCCGGAATCAAGTATCAGTTGTAGAGTATCGGTAATTGTGTTTGGTGATCTGGAGCCGAGCCATAGACCCTCAGCAGTGTCTCAACTATATCATATACACTCATCGGGTTGCACTTCCGGAATCAAGTATCAGTTGTAGAGTATCGGTAATTGTGTTTGGTGATCTGGAGCCGAGTCATAGACCCTCAGCAGTGTCTCAACTATATCATATACACTAATCGGGTTGCAATTCCGGAATCAAGCATCACTACTAGAGCTTCGGTAATTGTGTTTGGTGATCTGGAGCCGAGTCATAGACCCTCAGCAGTGTCTCAACTATATCATATACACTAGTCGGGTTGCAATTCCGGAATCAAGTATCACTTGTAGAGTATCGGTAATTGTGCTTGGTGATCTGGAGCCGAGTCATAGACCCTCAGCAGTGTCTCAACTATATCATATACACTAATCGGGTTGCAATTCCGGAATCAAGTATCACTGCTAGAGCATCGGTAATTGTGTTTGGTGATCTGGCTTACTCTACACGACTAGAAATGAACACGATGTCATTCATCACATTTCAGAATACCCATGAAGGGCACCAATAACTCCATATTGAGGATAACATCCGCAGTTGACGGGTCGTCAGTGACGGCAGTTTCTTCCACCACAACGTGATTTCTTGCAATCTGCACGAAAACCGCGCGCGCGTCTAGTAGTTCGTACCAGTGGCTCTTATCGGCATCAGTGGGATGCTACGTGGATGCCTGAAGGATTTCTGGGTAAACGGCGGGCCGGAGGCCCGCCTACTCCAAGGTTTTAAGCACACCTTCCGCGGGTGCGGACACTCGACCCGGATTGTGCGGACACTCGGCCCCGAGGCCCCATCACCCCCTTCGGAGACTTCCTGCCAAGGTAGTGTCTGGGACGGATCTTTTGGGCTTATTCCGTTACTCTATGGTATTGTGGTGGCAATGAATGGCTTGGGCTCTCCTGTGTGAGTGATACATAGTATCGTTCGACGTTGTGTAACGCTGTGTTGCGGTCCTATATCGACGTGGTTGCCTTCACGTGGAGTACTCGTATAACTAGAGGCTGTGGTAGCTATAGAAGTGTTGTTGCCTTCTTTAGATGGTACGTGTGTCTGTGCTACGTGATTGCCTCAACTCAATCTTGAACGCCGAGAAGGCCGGTAAGAGGCAGGTCCTCGTCCGACCTTGCTCTAAGGTTATCGTCAAGTTCTTGCAGGTTATGCAAAAGAATGGTAATAAGGGTATTTGAGTCTAGATAGAATCTCCTCTATTGCCCGTCCTCTCTCGATTAATGCATGTTTCCTCAGGCTACATTGGCGACTTCGAGATCGTCGATGACCACCGTGCCGGCAAGATCATTGTCAACCTCAACGGTCGCATCAACAAGTGCGGTGTTATCTCCCCTCGCTTTGATATCGAGACCGGTGATATGGAACAGGTATTATTAGTCTACATAGAGTATATGTTTAATTGCTGTTATCTTGTTCAGTTGGCTTCCGATCTGTTGCCTTCCCGCCAGTTCGGCCACGTTGTCCTCACTACTCCTTACGGCATCATGGACCACGAGGAGGCCCGTCGTAAGCATACTGGTGGCAAGGTCGTTGGCTTCTTCTTCTAAATCTATGGGTTATCATTAACCTTCGACGACGACGAAGAGAGGTCATACGCCACCGCTTGTGTAGCAGCCACTGACTCTCTCGGGTTTCGAAGGAGGTTTCTCCAGGAAGGCAGTGGCCATAGTGTTGTGTTATCTAGTATTGTAAGGGGTATGTAGGAAGTGTGAGGTGATTACCTCTCATGGAGTGTTATGGTCGACGTTATATGACCGATGGAGTATTCATTGATTCTAATTGGACGAACTCGTGCGTGTATTTCCAGGGAACAAATGCGGCCAAGAAGGCCTTGTCGTAGTTGTGTTTGGCTGCAATAATATGCTGAATTGACACATTCCAAAATCATATCTCAATTTCGACGAAGGATGAACATATTGAGGGTCGTAGGCTGGATGGGTTTTCGTATGACCCTCTCATGACGTGATGTCTAACGATACAAAACCACGTTTACGAGTGATGTTACGGTTCTCTTTATGTCTTGAGCATTTCGAAGAGTCCGAGAGTTTGAAATTGCTGAAGAGAATTATGTGTTGCACTGGTGACCCGGGCTGGTGCTCGGTCAGGACTTCAAATCCTGGGGCGTCGGGAGGCGCAGGCGTTCGATTCGCCCTCCGGGGCGTTTTAAACAATAAAACAAAGCCTTGCTGATTGATGATGCCCTTGTGACCCGGGTCGGAGTTTGGATAGGTCGTCAAAGTTGAGTATATGCTATTCGGCTGGTGTATCAGTCTGTTCAAACTGAAGTTGGGTAATACAGTCATCGATGTAAGCTAGTCGAGAAGAGTCCGACCACCTGCCTATGTCATCTCAAGTGATTTAGCCTCTATCAGTGACGTCCGTAATTGAAAATTTCTTAGCTGCCGTATTTCGTGACAACCAGGCCGACATTGTCATCTGTGATATGTATTGTTCGACTTCGGTCATTGGCTGTCGAAAACTAGTGCTTCGATTAAGAGTGACATTGTTCAACGACTATGTCCCGATCAATTACTCATGCATGTAGAAGCTATCCCTCGGGACCTGGCTGGTGTTTTTTCAAGATGCAGGAGCAGGTTGCCAAGTCTGGCTCGCAGTAGAGGTTAATTCTTACTCGCGGATTGTCCGACTATCACATCACATCGATGAAAATAGGAGATGCTTTCATGAGCTTTGGAGATAGTGACGTTCTACTTCTTGCCAGTAGTCTTGAAGAACTATGAATGATGAATTCACGGACCACTACAGACCAAGGAACTTCAAGTATGTCCAATTTAAGGTCAATCCAACCACTTGAAGGTAGAATGTAGAGATTATCCGCGTTGGGATACTTTCCTAACGAGCAAATCGGCGGCACCATGCTCAACGCATCGTGCATGACGAGGAGGATCCGACTTGTCTTTCCTGTTACGATGTAGAAAAAGAACTAAATATTGAAGGCTGTCTTCAACAAGATGAGTGTGGAAAATAGGGGGATGGACCACTAATGTGTGTTGGGAGCGAGATGGAAACTTTGAGGAAATCTCGAGAAGCTCTTGTTGGTTTCTGTACGTTTCTACCCTATTCGTGTGTAAATTTGAAGTGGAAAAACTCTAGAGCTCAGCTCAAGCAACCAAACAATATCGCAACACTGCCCGATGGTTGCTCGAGAATATGAACCGACGTGCAGAACCTCAGTTGTTGAGGTGGAATCGCGGATAGTATTCACTGGACAGCCTCATTCTGGGAGAGGACAGGGAACATTCAGATGACAGTCGGGGAGAAGAGGCTGCTCCTGATCGATCATACTCTGTCTGCCATCCCTCGAGCTGGGCATGCCCTCCTGCTCCACAATACGCCTAATCTGAGGCTCAAACCCCATATCCAGCATTCTATCAGCCTCATCGAATATAAGCATCTTGATTTGGCACAGGGACACACGAAATCTACAAGGAGTAATATTGCGAATGATACCAAGTTGTTGTGTGGACCTCTAATGAGGTGATGTCTAACGATACATAACCACGTTTCCGAGTAATGTTGAGGTTCTCATTATGTCATGAGTGTTTCGAAAAATCGGGCAGTTCAGAAGTGCTGAACAAAATTTTGTGTTGCACTGGTGATCCGGGCTGGTGCTCGGTTAGGACTTCAAATCCTGGGGCGTCGGGAGGCGCAGGCGTTCGATTCGCCCTCCGGTGCGTTTTAACCCATAAAACGAAACCTTGCTGATTGAATAAACTTCTTGGACATCTTAACAATGTTAATTATTGGGCATCTTCATCACTAGGAGATGCCGTATGATACTGACATGCAGAACAAGCGCGGCACGTTCCCGATGGGCGATTTGAATGGCATGTTACGACCGTCTCGAGTACGCTAGAAACTCAAGAGTGCATTGGAACATCTGATGTGCACTTGTGACCCAGGTTTGTGTTTGGACAAGATTTTAAACCCGGGGGCGTCAGAAGGCGTAGGCGTCTGACTCGCCCTTCAAAGCGATTTGGTCCACGCGGCACGACTTGATCTATTAGATAATCGGCTTCCACGGAATAGACCAGACTGATTGTCGACCGCGTTTGTAGCTTCAATAGGAGCTGGTGCGACTCGCTATTCCGACGGTTTGATGCGTCACCATGTTCAAGTACATGCAACTCGGCTAAGATTTCAGTCTGTTTCAACTGAATTTGGATCATACAGTCATCCATGGAAGCTAGTCGAGAAGGGCAAAGAGTGTGAGTTAGTACAAATGTCATTTCAAGTGATCGAGGCTCGATCATCGACCTCCGTAATCGAGGATGTTTCGACTACCGACATACAGGTCGACCTCGTTGTATGAGCTATGCATTGCTCTCCTTAGGTCATTGGCTGTCCAAAACCAATGGTGCTGTTGAAAATGGCACTGTTAAACGACTATGTCCAGATGAACACGTCATTTGTGTAGAAGCTATTCTGCGGAGCGTGGCTGGTATTCTCGAGATGCAAGAGCTCGTTGCCAAATATGGTTCGCAGTGGAGGTCAATTCCCAATGGCAGATTACTCAACTAGCACTTCCCGTCTCTAAACAGTGGAGATGCTTTCACGAGCGCTGGAAATGAAGACGCTCTACTTCTTACCAATAGTCTTGAAGAACTATGAATGATGATTTCACGGACCAGGGAATCTTGAGTATGTTCAATTCCGTATCAGTCTGATCACTCATACGAACAAACTCGAGATGAACCGCATTGGGAGACTTTCCTGAGTAGCACATCGTGGGCGCCATGCTCATCCGCCACAAGCATGACGAGAAGGACATGCCTTGTCTTCACTGATATGATGTCGAGGAACTCAATAGAAAAGCTGTTCTCAATGAGATGATAGTGTGAAAACTGGGCACATGGACAACTACGTTTGTTGGTGACGAGATGGAAATTCTGAGGAAATATCGAGAAATTCTTGTTGATTTCTGTACACTTTTATGTCGTGTGCAAATTCTCATCGTGAGGACACTCTTAAGCTCAGCTGAGGCAACCAAACAATATTGCAACACTGCGCGATGGTGGGCATACACTGTTGCTCGAGAATATGAACCGACTTGCAGAACCTCAGTTGTTGAGGTGAAATGGCGGATTCACTGGACAGCCTCATTCTGGGAGAGGGCAGGGAACATTCAGATGACAGTCGGGGAGAAAAGACTGCTGCTGAGGAAAATAGACGACTAGAAGAGGTATCAAAGAACTTGTATGAGAAAGCCTCTGAAACGATGGTGCCCGCAGGAGATTGCACAGTTACAGTTGAAACCTTTGAATACAGATGCTGCCAGAAAGAACAGCAGGGGAACTATAAGTAGTAATGACAGAAATAGTGTCTAATTAGAGAGGAGATAGAGAATTAAGTTAGCCTTAGATCAGCCGAAGCACACTGAGCCAGTCGACGATGACCAGCAGGCAGAGGATGAGCTTCAGGCACTGTTCAATGAATGGAGCTCCGAAGGTAAACCACTCTTCGTTACGGGGAGCTTGTGAACAGTGTGAGATGATATACACTTTGATATGGGTTGGTGACAATGAGGAAAATCTGCGGAAATCGCTGTTGATTTTTGTACACTTTCACTCTGAGCTGTGTGAAAGTTTCAATGGTGTAGTGAGAAGACCGGACAAACTTCCCAACACTGCTGGTAACCGGTGCACTGGTCGTCATCAGGCGATAAGTCGGGCGACAGTAAAATGGTCACACACAGTCCCCTCAGGGGGCAAGCCTCGAGCACAGGAACCCCAAGCTCCTCGTTATACCATACCGACACCCTCAGCCACCTTGGGGAATGACGGACTCGGCAAGAGGCTCAAGCCTAGCAACGATGCAGAAGGCAGCAACAAGGAGGATGTCCGCAAGTCCAGCACTACTTCCGTTGCCTTACCGTCTCTCACTGGTGGGTATAAGGCGCGAATGCAAGCCCAAGTCCGGTCTTTTACCTTGAATAGTCGGTGAGTTGTATGTGATCGGTGATTCTCCCACCCGACAGGTCTTCTTGGCAACTCGGACCAACGCGAGAAGTCAAGTGAATCAGTAGCAGCCAAGGCTCAGTAGCAACAACACACCCTCTTTCACACCCTCCTACGACGGCTTCAGACAGTCGACCACCAAGCGAATTACCCCTGTATCGGAGACTCTCCGATCGATGGACAAGGAGAATGATGTGACATCTGCTGTGAGGGCGAATCCACCCTTGCCGGCCACAAGCTCTGGTAAGGTCAGCTGCTCCATCCGAGGGTACTGTGTGGCAGGCCTTCTGAGCAAACGGCTTGCCAAGGCAGCACCAGCGTCTATCATCGAGATTCCAACTCTGGAGACTCCCTTGCTGGAAAAAGGGAACTCCGTCCACGACGGTATTCCGAGAGAAAATCTCGATGATCCATCAGACAAAACCTCGCGTGCAGCACCTCCACTCCGCTCAAAGGAGGCGCTGGACCGAGGTGGACATGATAAGTTACCACATTTATCGGGCGAGTTCATCAAGTGAGCCTTATGGATGAGTGCTGATTGGACTCTTGCTGGGCCTTCAGGGCCAATCTGGAACGCCATGAGGCTGAGCGAATGGCGAGAAGGGCTCAAGAAAATCTGGAGGTAACCCTGGTGGAAGAGACAGCAAGTTCCCTGGCCTCCCTCGACGGTAGCTTTCCTCAGGCTAAAATCGCCGACTTGGCGAGGGCACGTGCCACGGACGAACTCCGGGCTAAGGATGAGGTATGCAACGGCACACGATGGAATCATCCATGCCACAGTATTGTTGATCGAACTCATCCCACTACTTTCTTCGTGTATCGCCCTGTCCTCAAGACTCGAAGCTCACCGTCACAGGTTGAGCGGCTGAACTGGAAGGCCGAACGCGCCAGGGAAGAACTAGAGGATGAACGAAGCCGTTACGAGGGTCGGTGCTCTAAAAAACTCAAATATCTCCAAACGAGCCTCGAGGTATTTTCTTACTTAGAGCGAATAAGAAGGTTGGAGGAGCAACGTAGCTTGGATAAGCAACGGGCAGAAGAAGAGTTGCGGCGTGCGGTCGCCGATGAGGCCAAACGGTGGGCATCGTCACTCTTATTCTTCTATGTGCTATTCACTAGGCAAGAGCTTGCCATGGAAAGGATAGTGCATCAGCATCGTCGTGAGGTAGACGCACTCAAGTCCGATCATGACAGGGAGATTCACCTGCTCAAGCGCAAACACGGTGAGTGCCCCATCTGTACCTCCGATTAGCTCACCGAGCTGGGTAGCTGTTGTTGGTGTACCTCAGATGCAGAGATGGCGTCTTTGAAGGCTTCCTCTGGGGAGAGGGACAAGCTGTCGGAGCTGACAACACAGGTGAGGTTTGGAGAAGGGAGGCACTCGTCTCTATTGTCCCCAGATGGTGGCCCACATGACCCAGTGGGACGATATAGCTAGTGCGGTGAAGGGCACTACTGCACTGACGGAGCAAATGAAGTGGGATGGCGGTGGGGCAATGACCGATGAGATGCTGGGTTGGCCTTAGGGCTGAACAGCTGTCAGCGAGGGAGAGTTTTGTGAAGTCGCTGGAGACTTCAATGAAGGAACAACAGCGGCAGATCGAGGTACGTCAGTTTGGCACTCCTCGAGTCGTGACCTGCCCTGGTAGATGGAACGATCGAAGCTCAGTGAACTCACGCGGGAGATGGAGGAAGAGCAAAAGTGAGGGCCTTAGAGCTCAGTGCGCCTTCATATTTGAGTATCCGTTTCGCGGTAAGGACCGCTTACTCATCGTCTCATGGTGAATCGACCTCCTGTGCATCGTCAACACTGACTATCAGTGGAGTTCACATGCCAGGAAGCTTGAAGTTGATACTGCGGTGTTTATAGACAACATCGCCTCACCCGAGAGAAAGAGTCTCAAAGGCTGGAAGCTGAGCATGTGCGTCTACAAGAGCTACAGGAGACAGCAAGGCAGATGCAACGTGATAGCAAGTAAGTGTGTGCTCGAAATACTCCTCAGTAAACTGGGAGAGAGAATCCTTTGGAAAGGACCTCTCTCTATCTTTCAGCTGATCAAGTCGCAGAACAGTTTTGTTTCCAGATCAGCTCTGTTCTCGAGGGAGACAGCAGTAGAGTCTGCCGTTAGAAATCTGAATGAGCAGAAGTTGGCTTTGGAGTCTCAACAGAAGGCGTTCGAGCTTGATCGGGAGGACCAGGAAAGGAGGTGGGTGGAGATTAGATGGCCTCTCTAGGTCATTGTTCTTGGTAGGCTTCGTTCTGAGTGGGAGAAGCTGAGATGTGTACAGAAGTCCGTCGACCTCAGCCTCATGGCTACGCAGAGACGAGCCAACGAGGCGGAGGTAGCGGTTGCGAGGCATCGCGATCGGGCTGCTGCCGAGATGGAGACCATAGAAAAGAAGAGTGTGCAGGTGGGAAGATATCATATACCTGGTTTGTGGAGATACCCTCTAGGTAAACGAGGATTCGGCGGAACTGAAACGGAGACTGGTACTTCTTCGCCAACAAGAAGCTGATGTTAGGGCTGACATGAACGGCATGGTCAGTGGGCCCATTATTCGGTACATCTTCATGGACATTTGACGCATCAGGTTGAGATGGCTTCTCGGTTAAAGAATAGGGCCCAGCAAGTAGCTGAGGCCTATGCGGCAGCTGAGCATGTCCGTGCAGAGGTAAGTTCAGTTGTCAATCTCACAGGAGTTGGCTGTTACGGTAGGCACACAGACTCCATGCAGAGCTTAGTGATAGGGAGAATGAACTGGTAGAAGGAGCAAAGGAAATGGAAGAGATGAAGAGGTCGGAATTGAAGGCACTTTCTGTCGTTATTATCGGTCTGGCCATATCAGGGAGATCGAGGAGCAGCGACTGAGGGTTATTGAGGCCGAGACTGCAGTCAGTGCCCGGAAGCTGGAGATGATGAACCACACTGACACATTAGGAGGCATCACCACTGAGACCCTTGTATCTGCCTCCTCTCAGCCAAATGTAGCCTCTCGATGCAATTGTTCACTGGGCGGATTCTCGGCACGAGAATCTCGTGTATGCTTGGCTGCATGTTTGGTTCGTTCCTCAGTTGAGAGCTGCCTTATCTTCGGCGCAGGTTGGCCACAGACAGTCGAGGAGCATGTCACGAGGTGGGGGATTTGGACTTGTGGATGTTGATTCAATACGACCAAGATTGGGGCTGAACTGTGGCAAGCTTCTTTCTGCTCAGTCACCACGAGGCCACAACTGCTTCGATCTGTTCCCGATGCTGACAAGTGGAGGAAGCTAAAGGAGGAGGCCATGCAGATTGATGAGTGAGAGAGATGATAACGTTCTGATGTATCTGCAATACAGATACATATTGAAGCACCAAGAGTGCCTCACAGCTGTTCGGACAATGACCACCACTCAGCTGCTACCAGCACCGTTGCCGTACCCGAGCTATGCGGCTCTCCAACCTTTCCCGAGGTCTCAGTCATCTAACAGTTCGCAAGCGATCTTTTTTGATAGGGTCAGCGCACAGCCTGTCGATAATATCCGAGGAGCTGAGCCTTCCCCGGGTATATCGACTAGTCACCACAGCTTCGTTCCTCTTCGAGGCTCCCCTCAGGCGACAACGTGACATCTCCCGTTCGTATGCCAACCTGATTTTCGCGTCCCACACAGGTTCTGGCCACCACCCGACACTCGATTCGGCACTATGAACGTCACATCTACTAGTCCCGTGGGAGGTGAGTTTCAATGTGTTTCTGACTTCGCCTCACCCTCAGTGAGTCGTTGAATTGGTATTTCCCTTGTGTCATCGGTGTGCGCTCACGTTGCCCATACATGGGTTCTACAGGAGGGCGAGAGACTATATCCGCTCCACTGGAGCCTCTCTCGTCTCTGACCTCGTCCGATCAAGATAGGACCGACAAAGTTCCCGCGCGGCGAGCATCTATTCCACCCATAAATGTTGCTGCCGCAGCAGTAAGATCATGACCGATGATATTAAGATGGATCGTAGCTAGTGTTTTGTTTTTCGCCTAGTAATTCCGGACCGTTGGTTCTCTTAATGTGTTTGTGGGGAGCAACGTTCAAGATAACTCCGCGGTTAACCTCATCAACATGATAGACAAAGCAAGACATGTTTGGCTCATGGCACAACCTGCGATAGTGATGAGCACATTAATTGTGCCAAGAATATTTGGGGGAAAGAAGTGGCATTTCAAATGGCGATAACGCGACCTATTGTTTAAGACGAGTGCTCCATTTCCATCCATGAACTGTCCGGGTCCATCCCTCGATAATGCTGTCGGACATGCGTTGTCCGATTGTGTTACTGAGCATCTTGCTGTTGTTTGCAGCAACTTGTTCCCAATAACTGATTTCCGGTTATTTCGACATTGCTTTGAGCCTTATGAAGATATAGCGTCATTTCGCTCCATTATCCCACACTAGCCTTGGCTCAACATGCTACTCTCGAATTGAGTGACTTGATAACAAACTCGAAATGGTCATCGCGGAAAATGAGTACATCAATTGTGCATGAAACCCAAATATAGATAATGCTCTCAGTCTGAGTATCACACAGCTCGGCATGAAGGTAGTGATAACCCACCGCACAGTATAGAGACCAATGCGTATAAAGCCAGCTGCAAAGGGACGGCTACTTCATAACGGGAAATAAAGTACAGAGATCCAAGCATACATATAGTTGATTTCACGTTAGACAGGAAAGATACTCACCAGAATGATGGCCACGAGTGCTCCATGAACCTTCGCTCTTTGCCACCATATCTTACGAACAACCTAAAGCGACAGTACAACACAAATAAGTAGAATACAACCACAAAAATGAATGTCCAGTACTGGGGCCAGTGCCTGGGGAGTCTGTGGTGGTCCCGCGCATACACAACTATGTCTCGTTAGCCTCAGTTGTAAGACGAATGAAGATTCAGAATGAATCTAACTTCTTGTCGAGCAATGCACTGTAAAACCTCACTTGTTTTGCCTTTGACCGGAATACCCGTGCATCAATACCAAGATTTGAGGTTTTGTCAACAAGCGAAGCTATGGACTCTCCACGGTTGATAACAGCATCTGTATCGCTAATGCTTGCGCTGATGACACACAGAACATACTGATGTTTTCGACCATGATATCAGCGACAGCGTCAAGCTCCTCCTCCACTTGGGATACCTTAGTCATCTTAACACCGTTGCCCCCATCCTAAGGACACGATTTCACTGTTCACCAACAGTTCGAAACATTGAGACCACGAATGGATCCACATCTCACTATTATGGCTTTAAGCTCTCTTGTCATGGTGATAACGGAGGGTAGCTGCTGACGATTCCTAAGGAAGTGTCTGGTCACACACAACTGTTAACGGGCCTCTTCAAACCTCGGCGTTATATGGCCAGCCATTCGCTTGAGTATCATGCTTGGGAGCTCGGCGCCTCCCTCCCTCTCCACTGCCACTACCACATAAATGTACGGATGCTCGCGATACTGAAGCAACGGCCTGCACCCAAAAGGGTATGTGATTATGTTTACGAAGTTTATTGTGTGGGACTGATAGACAAGACTATGGCATAAGTCTTCCATTCGGGAGAAGTCACCGATGTTCTTGCGAGCAGTGGCGATCTATAAGGGGTTAGAGTATTGGTCAATTCGAGCAGACCGTCGTACTATATTCTCATAGTCAGTCCTGCCTCGTGGTGTCATTGTGTCCTGACCGCCGAGCACAGGCTGATACTCGCATATAACGTAGGTGCCTTTCGACACGCAGGCGTAAACGAGAGGTGCTTTCTTGAGACTTTCCATAGAAGGCATCGTTCGTACAACTATATGCAGTTTGAAAGCGTGACTCGAAAACGCATATGTCTACTCATATCTGTCTTAAACCAGCTCAGAGTAATCATGGTAGCGAGCGTCCATAATTGATATTAACCAGAAGTTACCAACTTGAGGAGTCCTGGCGGTGGCTTATGCTACAATGCAAGTTTATTGAGGTGTGGTATGACTCGAGATCATAAAACAGTCCATGACATTGACTGTAGCTATTAACAGTAGTCGACCACTCGTCTAGTATTTGACTCATCATCACTCGAGCTTTCTGATGCAGGGCTCATCGCAATACATGGGAACTCAGTGGACGACGTTCCCGAGGCCGACTCTGTCGGTATTGAATCACTGACTGTAGTCTGAGGTACCTAGTGGCTTTCGTTTGTATCAATCTCCTCGAGAGGTTAATACCGATGACTACGAGAGATTCTCTCGTAGTCATCGGGAAGGCCTCAAAGGAGCTCCTCCTGCACAGAGATCGAAGCAGAGCCCTCGCGAGACAGGTCCCCTTTGTCTGCAATCCATGGAACATGGACAACTTACAGAGTATTAGATAGCAACGTGGTACTCGTAGATAGAAGCCTTACATTCGCGGGATTAGTGTCCAGACCCCTTAAAGAGCGTGGCATCGACTTCTGCCTGCCCTGTTCATCTACTAACGACGGCGATGAACCCGCCGTTGGGGAGGAAAACCCACGAGTGACCACAAGCTTTCTGTGGCGCATTCCGAAGGTGGTTCAATCCTGATCCATCATCCCTCATTTTGAGAGACCTCGAGCCTGGCCTTACTTACAACTGGTCTGCCTACAGATGGCAAGCATGTCGCCCGTGAAGAAGTAGTGAATTACAACGTTCGACTTTTCAATCTTGAATTCAGCGAATGGGAGAACATATCGAGAGAAAAAAATTTGGTTGAGATCGGAAGAAATAAGTTGAAGTGTAAGTGTTATGACACGACCGTCCGTATTCCTCTGCCCGACCGTCTTATCGTGATCCAGAGGGTACTGGCAAACGAGACAGCAAATGGAATGGGTTCCGAATGCAATCGATTATCTGGGTGCGGGCTACGACAGTGAGCGTACGATATCGGAAAACAGTCTGCATCTGAGTCAGTACGCGGATATCGATGGTCGAAAAATGTTGGACACTTACAGCGGAGCGACGCGGATTAGTGACCATGATTATGGCAACTGAGCATGATTCATAATGTTGTATGGCAACTCCCTCTGCAGATTGGTCCCCTCCTACTCCTACCACTACTACCGCCACCTCAGGAGAGGGTGGCAATAACACGAATATCCAATATCATCAGGTGACCAATTAGTTGGACTATTTGGAGACCCTTCACAGGTCGTACAGTTCTCATCAGAAGCCGATACACAGAGAGCCTCTCACGAGCAGCTTGATAGTAGTGAGCAGCCGACAGAAGAGGACGAGGAGGGGGAGGTAGCGCTGACCAGATGCCTAGTCCTAAGACTCCCACCTTGACAGGATACCAACACGCCCCCAACAAACAGGGCTACTACTCCCTTCGGAAGCTCTTCAGTGTTCATCTCCTCTTCAAGAGGCGAGATATGTGATCCTATACTGTCTATAGGCCCTAGTATAGGTAGGAGCTCCTCTTCTACTGGTATGGGGCGTAACAGCGCTGCTGGGTACTATATCACTACGGCAACTGGACAGAGCTTGCCTGAGGAGTAGGGGATGGACTACACATGCCCATCATCATAATCATCCGATGCCTCTCCATCAGGCGGCTTATCACACCGATATTCCCCGACGTTATCCCCGTTGTAGTGGAGGACTCACAGTCCTCAGATGAGGAAGCTCGTGACTACCACCATCTGAGCGTTCCTGAGGATGCCTGGGACGCTGAGTCGTGCAGAGTCAGCAGCTGTTGGTAGTGTTAGTTATGGGAAGCATAGGTCATCGCTCAGGACTACTCCAATGATAACCTCACTGGGAAGAGTATATTCTTCGGTCACCGAGCATCTGCTAATGTCGTACTTGTCATTGGTGGAGGTAGATAGCCCATCGCCGTCAATACCCCCCCCGAGCCAGCTTTCTCTGTAGATAAGCCTACTACTCTACACGCCCATTGGGAGGTTCTATGTAGTTCCTTCTCGTATTTCCAAAACATGAAGGACAGTCGAATGAGGGAGTCGTTCGAAGGCATTGTAGTCACATTATGGATCCTCTCTTTGTAGACTGCTTTAGGCTTACTTCCCGACCGATTCCCCTCGGGCATGGCTAACCTTGCTCAAACGAGTGTAAGTAGTACTTAGGTAGACTCTCACTGACTTGGTGCTCCCCCCTAGGTATCCTCCCTACCGTCAGTTGGGGTTCATAGAAGCTGTAGAGGTCATATCTTTGGTTGATCGATTACAGACCTCCTGGCTTTCACGAGAACTGCAAGAAGTCGGCATGGACGCTCCCAAACTCATATTCGTTTAGTTTGTCCGCAATAGGTCTTGTCCGATGAAGCATACGGTGAACAGCGTACTCCTGGCATCGCGGATATGTTGGCTGCGCATGGCCTCTCCGATGTGAGTGAGAGACTTGCTGCTCATGTCGGGAGTGTTGAACGTATCGATAGGTAGTCGCCGCTTGGTTCAGTGAGAAGTATTGGCCTGCACTCAATGCGTGGCGATGTGTCAGTGAATGCAAGGATGTTAAGGCACTTCGTCGCGCTGCATTGTAAGCAGAGGGCTGTGAAACTGCATAGTGGTGGTATAACGAATAGTGTTTAAGTAACTTTCGTTTCCAAGATTTGGCCTGGGGACAGGAGTGATGTATAGAATCCTATAACATCTTTTGAAATCGCCACATGCCTTGAGCGAGAGGTGGAGGAATGTGAAGGGACCGTGGTCGTGTATCGAGCGTATTCATTGGAGTATCGGCTCGGTGATTGCTAAAAGGAGGTGGTCAGGTATGTGTGCCATGAGGCGGCGTCGATGAAGTCAGAAGTAGAGCAGTTGAGGAAGACTCTACGTGATGTTAAGATGGAGTCTAGGGGACGACAAAACAGGATATCTAGGATGAAGAGTGCCGGTGAAATATTCTATTCGTGATATGATGATACTCGACCTAATCCCGTTGAGAGGTCCTCATCAGGAGGATATCAGTTTAGTCATTTCAATGTGGTCGGAGGGTGTTGTTGTTGTTGTCAATTGATCAATAGTGAAAGTGATTGAGTGCCTGCATGACCTCCTCGGGAGCCACTGAGCATCCACCAAGTTTTGGTGAGACATTGCTGCTAGCTGGGGTGATATTGAGACTGTCTGTTAGGCGCCAATGAGACTGTAGTCGACTTTAACGACACTGATAGTCGTATACTCACTCCTAAATTCGTAACTCTACAGCTCAGGGCTCGCCTCAGGGGGAATTGGTGGCTCAGGTGGTCAGTCCTGGCATCAAGAGTGGGCGTCGTAGGAAGGTCGTCGAGGAGTATATACAACCGGCTGAGGTGGGGTGATGTAGATGGCGGGTAAATTGTCGAAGGAGTGGTAGGTCTTCTGTGTCCGATTCTCCCCGGATAACACCCTGTTGGCTGTCTCTACTAGTAATGGCCTTATTAAGATCTACAACTGCCGGGATGGGAAGGAAATCTACACCCTACAGTCGCCCCGTACAGGTATATTGCCAGAGCACTAGACCACTATGAAGCCTTGTGCCAGGTGAAGTCATACAACCGGTTACGCAGATCCGTTGGCGCCCTATGGGGAGCTCGGCGAAGACTCAGAATGTCCTAGTCAGTGTAAATGCAGAAGGAGTGGTATGGCCTTGAGTATCATAAGTTATCTGATATGAAGTGATAGGTATCACATTGGCATGTGACAAGCGCCTCATGCATGCATGAGTTCACCGAAGATGGGAATCAACTGTTTTGTGTGGACTATTCCCCTGATGGAAGTCAGTTTGCCACAGCAGGGAGGGAGAGGTGGTATAACTACTCAAAGGATGTTAGAGTGTTCGAGTTAGAGGAGTAGCCGTCTATGATGAGAACACGAAAGCGCTGATCACGACACTGAAGGGTGGAGATAGTCTACATACTCCTGGTCATTCTAATAGAGTCTTCAGTCTCAAGTGAATGGGTGTTTCAACGGATGAACAGCTATGGTTACACGGTGCTTAGGTATCACCCAGAAGACCCAAACGTGATCATTACTGGCGGCTGGGATAATACAGTGCAGTTTTGGGATATCAGGAAGGGACATAGCGTGCGCTCAATCTTTGGTGGGTCGGGGCGGCGTAAAGTAGTGGATTTTTTCCTATGGTGCACTGGTGACCCGGGCTGGTGCTCGGTCAGGACTTCAAATCCTGGGGCGTCGGGAGGCGCAGGCGTTCGATTCGCCCTCCGGTGCGTTTTCCAGTAATTTTTGGTGGTCCTCGGTATTCAGCTAATGGCATTGCATGAATGCCTCCCAGGTCCGCATATTTGCGGTGACAGTGTTGACATCACCAATGATGGGAAACGTATCCTGACTGGTAGTTGGAGGGTTGACCGACAGCTACAGATCTGGGATTACGCTGAAGGGACCCTTATTGAGGATATACCTTGGCGGAGCGGGGTGAGCTACCTCTGGCTTACAACGCTGCTCATTGGCCTTTGCCTCGATAAACTAATGTGTGTATTCCGTTAGCCTTAGGCCTCTGTTACTAAACCATGCATGCTGTATGCAGCACAGTTTAACAAGGGGCATCGATCGGGAGAGTTCATATGTGCTGGTGGAAGCGGTGCCAATGAGGCTAAGATACTGCACAATGACAAGGGCTCAGGGGACCAATCTGCTGGTTGGAGGACTTTGGGGACATTAACAGGTTAGCTGCCATCAGTGGGGTCGAATTAAGGCTTGTGCCAGGTGTGGACAAGGGATGCTTCACAGTTGACTTCTCCTCTGGGAAGTCCACGGAACCGGAGTTGGTGGCTGTGGGCGGCGGTGATGGCATTGTTAGAGTCATGGAGATTGGCTATGAAGAGAATGAGGGTGGAGACTTATAAGTATCATGATGATGATGGTGATCATGTGTGATTGATAAGTGACCCGGGAAGCACTGCTATTGTGTTGAGAGTAGAAATACTATTCATACCGTCCCATGCACACCTATGTCGGTTAGTTACCCTGCATGACAATGCAGAGATACCGTTGCAAATTAAAGCGGTTTCAATTTGAGGCCCTCCCTTGACAAGTTAGTATTGGTGATGAGTAACCTGGGTCGTGGTATGAATCTTGTGCAAGAGGAATGGCAATGGAAGACGAAGTGGATCGTGGGATCTCATAGAAGAGTCATTATTCGGGAATCCCTCCCGTCCGCAGAGACGTAGATCAAGCTGTGGTATTCGGTCTAGTGCCCCGCAATAGCGGAGCTCCTCAAAAGGCTTACTGCTGGATGCCACTGAAGAATTGGATCTCCTACCATACCTTTCAAGTAACATCTCCGTCTATGTGTACGCTCCGCTCCACCCTATGCATTGGCCGATACTCTGTAAGTCTCGGCTTGATAGGTATTCGCCTCAGATTGATGTGGTTTATGTATCCTTTGCTGGTAACTGGAGCCTTACTGAGAGCCAATGTATGTGTCCTGTAGACCTGCATGTCCTGTGCGAACCATGCTGTGCCCGGTCCCTATTCGAGCTATGGAGATAGTCCTCAGTCGGCAACGACTATTTGTATATACTTAAATCAATAGGTGGTCGCACGTGAGAGTTGTGCATGCGTGCATATAGCGATTGCTATTAGGAAGAAGATACACAACGGCGAATATTCGAAATCATGTCGACTCCATAATTTGTTGATTACATATAAGCTGGCATTGCACTTTTGACACTCATAACGGTTACTTGTGGATGTCTGCACCAGGAGACATATTTTTCATATGTTCCTCCATGAACAGCTGAGGGGACATATTCGCCCTGCTTGAGAGGGGCGCTAATTAAGTGGTGAAGTCGGGTATTTCAAATGGCTTTCGATGGCTGCCTGTTGAAGTGACTCTCGTGAGCACGCGACATTGTGATGGCTTCGGTACTTTCTATGGTGTAGAGTTTATAGTGACCACTTTTTCTAGTAGTCGTAGTTGTCTTTACGGGAAGACGTCTAGGGAAAGGCCCGAGATTCTACTGCCCCGATGTGTATCTCAGTCTGAGCCTTTATCCGGCCCTTGGGCCTGGAAAACACAAGTAAGAATACGTTCATGCATGGCTGCTACTACTATCATGCTCGCCACGATGAACCAAGGAGTGAGAGGAAGCAGCAGTGGAACCTCAACGCAGGGGGAAGAGGTTACTGAGGAAGGCTATTGTAGAGGCAGTACCAAAGAACTCATACTTTACATGGAGCCTCGTAAGGACTCAGATTTGTATAAGAGACTATATGAGGCCAGAAAGGAGGTATTAGTACTTTGCTGGTAGCCAGGAGTCGACATGCAAGGTGTCAGGCGTTGTCCTTGTTTGGGTCGGACGAGAGTTATCTCTACGGTTTACATTCTAGTGTCACATGCTTCTTCACAACATCATATGAGGAGGCTCAAGGTAGGGTATATCTAAGGATGGTGGTCATCATCACGACGACCCTAGCTACCTTCTCAGCCGTACTCTTCGACCTTGATTGGGCATTCTTGTCGTCCCTTGAGGCTGCCAAAGACAAGGGCATGGGACTAGATGAGGGCCTTTCCCTATCAGCTCTATGCAGTGGTGGTAGCAGTAGTACAGTGTCATCCATCTACACCAGTGCTGATGAACAGCAGTCCCCCAGTAGTCTGGCTAGCATGGTGAGTTAGGGCAGAGTGACTACCTCTCTTAATCGAGGAACGAGACGAAGAGTCTTCAAGGATCGTGTTGAATGCCCTAGTCCTGATAAACACGTCACTCAGAAGGGACGTCGGTCGCGTTTAACGTGTTTAATATTCTGAGCCTTTCCTCCTCAAGATCTCCATCATAGGTGACTGCCGCGAGCTCGGGATGCTCAGTGTCACCAGTCAAGGTTGTTGGTGTTGACGGATCTCAGGAGAAGGAAGCCGACACTGTAGTGTTGGAGGCTATCCATGCTTGAAATGGTCGTAACTATAGTCGTCGTTCGAGACGAGTGCCGCCGCCGTGGCCCCTGTGGAGGTGGAAGAACTCCTCTTGTCGCCGGATGGGTAGGCATTCTAGGATAGACGGACTGAGGGAAAATTAAAGCCGCTCTTCAGATGCGTCTTGTTGAGCGTCAGTTATGATAAAGTATTATACGAAGTTCGCTCGGTCCTCAGCGGCTGTATTAGAGGTGACTATCTGTGGCCTCTCATTGGGGTAGTGACTACTGTTCAGATGGCATCCGATACAAGAAGCGTGCTCATCTTACTCTAGCCAAAGACCGGATGGGAGAGGAAGGCACCAAGCTTTTGAATTTTTATAGGGAGAAGCTGTGAGGGATAGTGAAGCTTCTCCGTCCATGTACTCTGTATTGGTTCAGTGGCCGTCCAGTCTCCGAGTTCGGTCCTATCACTGCTTGGGATCTTGTTGTGTATGAGAGAACATTCCGAAGCGAGAGCTTACAGGAAGATGGTCCACACGTATTGAATGTAAGCTCCCTGCAGAACGTCTCTTAGTCGCTATAGCATGCCTACTACAGGAGCTCGTTCGCTTCCCTCTGCAGTAGAGGTTGTTCGGGAGGCTAGCCGTGCGACTAAGTGAACAAGTGCTCAATATACTTTACAGCATGCAACTTATTCACAGTGATGATGCCGCCGAAATAATAGCCTCAGAATAGTATTGGTAGTTCTTACTGTCTCTCTCTAGGCCCTATTTCTCATAACGGGCTCCCCCAACTTGTCTCGACATCATTCCCATAATTTCTATATAAACCATTCAAAGTTGATAATGTTGGTCCCGACTGTGATACACTTTCTTGCATCCCACTCATGAGACTGCATATTCAAGGGTTATCACTATTCTTGGTTTCCATTATTATTTATCTAACTGCTGCACTTTGTCTTTACTAGCGGGTCAGTGGATTTGAGTAATGTTCGCCCTGGTCATCGATTATTGCACTGATCCACCATCCTATGCCGTTGCTCATGAGTACGTGGTGGTCGAGGAGACAGGCGGAGGCTTTCTATTTTGTAGAGATTTGGCGTAAAAACGGTCTACCCTGAGAGAAAGAACGTATTAGTATTAGCATTCACGCATTCTATCAACAAACCTTGATTTGCGGATTGTCGTTCAGTATGGTAGTATGACTACTAGTGTCTTATGCTAATCAGAAATCTCGTCAATCTCTCCACTCGAGATTTGCACACGTGAAGACGATTGACATGTTGCCATAATGTTCGCTATTGTTGCAAGAACAGTGATTTGATATCATCCGCGTGATGCCGCTGAGGTGTTCTCCAGAGCAGTGGTCAGCTAGCTCCGCCTTGTCGAGCTCCATGCATGTTGAGACGAGCTCGACCGTCATTGGCTGTCCATAAATATCCAGAATATTCTCCTGAGGGGATTCTATAGAGGGTTGAATTTGAAGCGCATCGATGATGATAACTGCGATACCCTCCCATATTGACTATCAAGGACGGGAGTGTTGTGTTAGTCAGTCGCGCAAATCCATATACTAAGACTGCTGAATCAGGGTTGATTGTTGACATCAGACGTTTATGAGGATAATATGTTTTATACGGGTGAAGTCAGGCAGAAGGAAACTTTTGTAAGCCTTCTTAGCTTAGTTGGTAGAGCACCCGCTTAGTAAGCGGGAGGTCGTCGGTTCAACTCCGGCAGAAGGCTTATACGATATTTTTGTGTACTTCCTACAGTACACGTTTGCGATGTATGTTTCCAATGTCTTTCCTGCTATAAAGCAACTCCATGGATAATTGGCGGTATGCTGCAGAAGTCTATGATGCTGCGTTCGATGTAGGAAACGGGGTTCAATATTCGCACTGTACCATTGCTACAAATAATGGGCCTATTGTGATTCTTCAAATCTATATAATCACAAAGGCGATCTTCTTTAACTGGCCAAGAAACTCTTGTCCTGCTAGTGTTGTCATAGTCGGCTGAGCATTAGAGAGAGGATCATGTGGTCATCGTACTCGTATGCCGGCGTAGCTATCAGCTTGTACTCGAGATGAGTGCTTATCCCTATCCGGGACGGATAGAGATACGATCCTCAGTTTACCTGTATTGATCGAGCGCAATGTACTATACTTCATGTTGTGACCGATACTTTGGATCGTCGTACCAGGAAGAAACTTTCCCCATGACGAGGCGGCGATCTGGTGGCGAGGAAGGTGGCGGCCAATGACAGCGCATGTAGCAGTTCTCCTCGTATGGGTCACCCATAATGGGTGTATCAGCAGTACTACCGGCCCGGTAGTACTACCTCAAACCTGCATAGGGCAACAGACTCAGCGGGCCTCTTCCTCCCATTCGTGGAGACATCATCACTGTACTGTTGACGAAAAGGCATAGAGGATGGTAGCAGCTATGGTGAACCACTTGCCACAATACCATAATCATCATCATTCGTACTGCTACCTTATGATGGCCTCGACGGGATAGAAAGCCTTTTCCAGCGGACAATTGTTATCTCAACTCAAAACCTACAAAGTGAGAAAAAAACTAAAAACAACATCATGTTCCCCTGTAACGAAGGTTTCGCTACTGAACGGAAGGGTGTACAGCGAATAGCTGAACAACACCTTTCTGTAGAGGAATGTAGTAGATTAACAGACTTAAACCAACACATTCGGGTCGTATGAAAACTATAAGGTACCATGGTTTTATACGGATTAACTACGGATGGTAACTTATTAAATTTGCGATCGACCCTCCCAGTTGCAGCAGTAGTATACAATTCTCGCCTTCAATTGACAACTGCCGTGCTGCTTCCAGACGATGAAGTGCAGATATTTTGGTGACCGGAGGGAGGCAGTTTTGTAAACACTCGAGTGGTTGCTATTCCTCCAACTGGAGTTCCGTTTGATTTCATCTTCGAGATGTGAATGTTGTGGGCGATGACGGTTAATTGATGCGAACTGTTCACAGACTGAGCTGGTGGGAGCTTAGTGAGGAAACGTTTCTTAGCAGGTGGAAGGGTAGTGCTTGCTGACTGGGATGGACAGAGCCTGGAGAGTACACGCTT